TCATTTTCATTATTGTCAACTATGAACTAATAACTCCGCATGCCTTCATGTTGTCAAACAATCAAAATAGTATTCTTGTCACATCGAGGTGTAATTCATTATATTTTAACGTTAGTTGCTCGTGGGAGCGTGATATATTTTCAACCATTACTTATTGAGTAACGTAGTTTACAGTTCACACGCATAAGCAACTTAAAACAGATCACAGGGCCACGAGCTAGTGACTTTAACCTAGTTTTCCAACCATTACTCTAAAGTAGATTGCAACCCTAGGTTTCTATTGCATGACTTGGATTATAAGTCAATAATAGACGTGATAAAGAAAATTTGGGACCACACAGAACATAGGTGAAAATGCGTCGATGAAATTGCAAGTGAGGTCCATTAAACTAAACGAAGAAATTGCAAGTAATTTCTAGCAAAAGGCTTCTTTCTTAATTTAATTCTCCACGTCCTGTCATTGATTTGATTACAAGGACTTTCTTGACATCATGATTTGGCTTTAAGCAATTGCGAGTAATCTTCTCCTCTATTTTTATTGTTCATGTATCACGACATAAACTGATGATACTATCGTGATATATTGACTAATTTGGTGCATTATTGATTAGTTATCGTGATATATTGACCAGGGTACTTTGAAGTTTTATTTAATTTTGGCTTTTAAAATTTGGTGCATTTGATAGTGAAATGATTATGACCTTCTTGTGGTCCTGTGGGGACCAAATTAATGAAAAAATAATGAAAAGAAATTAAAAAAATAATAATAAAAGAAAGGTGCGAGGATTATCAATGGATATTGCTTATCTCCTTCCTCCTTAAAAAGAAATACTCATTCTTTCTGTGAATCACAATTTAATATATATGCAAAAAGAGGGAAAATTACAGAAATAAGGATGGGGCCCAATTCAAAAACATGTAACACGCCAAAAAGGTTTTCTCTCCTACGCAACCCTTCAGCTCTCTGGATCTATTAACTGGAAGGGATAGTGACCCGCGGCCATGGCGAACAAGTGCCATCGCCAGTTCCATGGGGTCAACCTTGTTATTATTATTATTATTTTTTTTGGGTTTTAAATTTAGAAAATCAAAGTAAAAATATAGAGGGTAAAATTATTGTCTTTTTAAATTTAAAACAAAACCGATATATAGACGAAAATTTGTTAATTTAAAACAAAACCGAGAGAAACCTAAAGAGCTAGAGAAAAATAAAAGAGAACTCAGCCGCTACCCTCTTCATCCCCTCATCCCCTCCCATCTCCTCTCCCTCCCCCCTACTTTCTCTACGTTACATTGAATTCCATGTTTAATTTGTTCAGGCGTGTGACTGTTACGTTGAAATGTATTTGAATTAACCCTTTGTGATTATTGTGCATCTATTTTTGTATTAACCTTTTATAATGAGTATTTTGTCTTTGTGTTCAATTATTAAATACAATTACTGCTAATATTTTGTTTATAAAAAATTTAGATCATCTTCGAAAATAAAATTTGAATCGAAAATTTTGCGATCAACATGATTTTTCTGTCCATATGGTCGGTGATCCCCATCATCCGTATTTAATATATACAGAAAAAGCAGGTGCTTCACCTTTTTTTCAAATTTCTTTGTTTCTTCTTTTGGTCGAGACTTGTGGGTCTGTCATTCATTGAACCGCATGTCGGCATTAGCCAAGTTGGTGCTTACTATCGTCACCTTTCGGATACAGCACCATGGCCCCACATTACAATTTATTCTAAGTATGGTGGGTCCGTCGCATTTTAGCCTAATAAGCTGGATGCTTTTTCACCCATAAAAAACAAAAGTTTGATGCTTATTTTGAATCGATAGCGATGATAGGATAGGCTGGTTGTGAGGAGAAATTGTTGGGAGCGGTTGAGTGAAATTTCATGCATTTCCGTCAAATTCACGTTCTTTCTTTTAAATCTCTTCTTTTATTTTTTTATTTACAAACAAAGATATTCATTAAACAACTTCAGTATTACATTAAAGACGTGTACAAGATACGAATCTCAACATAATTGCATAAGTAATGATTCGTAAAGAAAAACAACCCGAAAGTGACAACAACCTAAAAAGAAAATCCACATAAACAACTAATAAACTGAAATAACTAAAATCTAACATAGTATGCCTAAATCATGACTACCACCATATATGGAAGTCTCGCCGCCATATAACCCACCGCATCTAACCTAGAAGAACATGTAAGAACAAAGGGCGGAGAATAATCAGTCTCCAACGATCTAACTGCGCATAAAAGGCAAATAAAAGTCGCATAATAGCCGGAAAAAAACAGTCATGATTTGATAAATATAGCAAAATACAATGGGCAAATTGCCGCTCTAAACGACTCAAAGAAAATTTTCATATACCATAATAAATAGAAGGTCCTCCTTAATAAATAAAAAAGGACTTAGACTCCCAAAAGGGAATGATGGCCTTGTTTACTTACGATATACTTGTAACCTCTCTCATCATTATCAATGGAAGGATATTCTTCCTATTCATTGTGTTTTTCCTTTGTCATAATCAAACTTATTGTAACCTTCCCTATTATTAGGTGGTAAAGGTTCTTACGTTAACCACTGAGATTTCACAAGTTAAACACATTACAATTTAAGCATTTGACTACCTTCACTTGGTTGGTGGGGCTGGTTGCGATCGATAGAGTTCGTAGACATTCCTATGACCTATAGACAGCATATGGAAATTTAAAAAAAATAAAAAAATAAAAAATGTTTTTGCTCCAGTAATCTATCCACCTCATCCATTCATTTATGTTATTGTATGGTGCACCACTCTCTGTCTATCAATATTCAAATTAGAAAGGGACAACACTTTCTTGAGATATACACAATTTCTCATCCATGAGATATCATGATATATTAAATCAATTTCGACAGATGAGTAGTAAATCACGATTTCTCATGCATGGACATATCATAAGATATATTTAAATAAAATATTGGAAGATTATTATCCTTTGATCCAACTGAGAAAACAATAATGCGAAAAATAGGGGAAAAGGTCATTGTCAAGAATGAGGTATTGAGAGAGAGAGAGAGAGAGAGAGAGAGAGAGAGAGAGAGAGGCTGAATTATTTGGACCAGAAATGCATAAAAGAAGGGACAAAATATGGTGTGTGATTGTTGATTAAGACTCTCCCTCCAGTCTCCCCCATGATCTGGAAATCTTTGGAATTGTATTTGTACAGGTTCAACCAAAGACTTAATTAAATTGAAGTCACATTCAAATGGTACATCTCATAAAGGAGTCAAACCACAATTTTGATTAACTTTAAGAAACTAAACCATGTTTCCAATTACAACCCCATGGATTCTTTATTTAAGGACACCACTTGTACAAGACAAATTTGACCAAAATAATGAAATTTGGTACAGCATTACCACTACCCTTTTTGAAAGTCGAAAGGTTGCACTCATAATTCAAGCGTAAAGGTCGTCAGCCACGAGGGTCAATATAATACGATAATTTTAAGAGTTAATATAAATATACAAAAACCACACAAATAGTTAACTTAATACAAATATATTATCATTAAGTTAATTACCGTTGAATGAGTGTGATTTGACACATCTAAATACATCTTAAATTGAAGTAGATGAATCTGAACACCAGTACTTTTTTACATGAATCTCCTAGAAGCTGCCTATATTCAAATTCAGCTGGTGTGTCCCTCAAAGCTGAACTATCCACACACACCCCCCAAAAAAAAAGAAAAAAAAAGAAAAAGAAAAGAAAAATTCTCCTTGTTGACTGAGTAGCCTAATCACTATGATTGTACCTGGGAAGAAAAAACGGTGGGTCCCCTTATAACTTAGGATCAGCTTAACCTACCAATGTTTTGCTTTTGTTTATGTTTTAAGTAATTAAAAAGTGAATACATTATCTAAGAAGAAAGAAATAGATTTCTGTGAAGAAAAGGAGGAAATCAATCTGGTCTTTTCTTAATCCAAACCCTAGGTGGCAGGCCGAGGGTTTTATGCTGGGCTAAATACAAGCTCATTGAATGGGCTCCTTTGGGCTCCAATGGATTCTGACAACTACTATGTCTTATGAGTTGGGCCTGTTTGTTTGATTACTCATAATTTCCTTTTTGTTTATTTATTAAGTTTAGGAAACCTTTTTTTTATTTATTACTTGTAAGATTTTTTTTTTAATAGAGCGATACTTTATCCTTTAATACAAGCGATAATTTAATTTACTCTAATTTATAAGGATGGGAATTCTAACTTGGAGACAGACTCACTGCCCTGACCAACGTCTTAACCCACATATACTTTTTTAACCGAGCGATTGCTTGTAAGTTTATGGAACATGCCAAATTTTCACATATTTTTGGAAGCTTTGAGATTAAGTACCAAATCCTACATAAATTTCAGATTATATACTAACCTTTTCTTTGGAGGCTTTCAGATTAAATACCAAAGACATAGCCTATATTTTTATTTCTATCACATGGCCTACCTTAATCTTTAAGTATCCCAAACCCAAAGGCTTCACATACTTATATAAATACTGTTACTTTGTTCGTACCATATGTCTAGCCCAGCCCGCATCTTGTGTGGGGAATCTATCTGTTGAGTTTCACAGAAATCCTTTAATTCACCAATAAAAATCCAAATTGAAACATCAACAAAAAAGAATTCCAAATTGAAACATCAACCTAAAAAAAACAATTTTCCAAAATCCACGGCGCGGAAGTCCACGTTTGAAATATCAGCCAATTGGAAACCTTATTTACTTCCACACCTCTCTCTTCCATTGGTCGCAGAAGAGAGAGAAGTTGTTGACCTCGCGATCCAAAGATCCAGCGCGTCTCTTAATCGAATCACGCCGAGAAAATCATCAGAAGCTCAAATCTTTTTTGGTTTTCCCATCAGAATTCTAAAAACCCATTTCCGTGTGTAAGTTTTTTCATGCATCTTCCTATTCTTTTCTCAGATCTAAATCGTTTTTCTTTGTTCGTATTATAATGGATAGTAACTATTCAGCTATCCCCAAGAACTCACATTTAGAATTGCAATCACGATATGATTCTGAAAACCCAGCAGTTCCTCCCAAATCCCATGTCAAATTGTCCTCTTTTGATGAGGAAAGCTTTCTAGATTCGAAGAATTTAAATGGGCAGGATGGTGGTGATGACTTTGATGATAATCTTGATTTTGATATTGCTAGTTATCCCCTTATTGTTGAGGGGTCTAAACAAGGGTCTGGAATCTCTGGGGCCGTGTTTAATCTCACCACTTCTATCATTGGGGCTGGGATTATGGCTTTGCCTGCTACCATGAAAGTTCTTGGCTTGGTTTGGGGTTTTATCTTGATAATTTTGATGGGTATTTTGTCAGAAATTAGTGTTGAATTGTTGGTCAGATTTTCAGTTTCGTGTAAGGCCTCATCGTATGGGGAGGTTGTCCAATGTGCTTTGGGGAGACCGGCAAGGATCTTATCGGAGATTTGCATAATTGTCAACAATGCAGGCGTGTTGGTGGTGTATTTGATAATTATGGGTGATGTTATGTCTGGTTCACTTCATCATATGGGGGTTTTTGATCAATGGTTGGGGCATGGGGTCTGGGATCACAGAATGCTTTTGATTTTTGCTACGGTGGTGGTTTTTCTAGCACCACTTTGTGCCTTGGATAAGATTGATTCCTTGAGCTTGACTTCAGCTGCATCTGTAGCTCTTGCAGTTGTGTTTGTTGTGGTTGCTTGTGGCATTGCGTTTATTAAGCTTGTTGAAGGGAAAATCGAGTCTCCAAGGATGACGCCGGATTTCGGATCAAAAAAGGCCATCTTGGATTTGCTTGTGGTGATTCCTATCATGACCAATGCTTATGTTTGCCACTTTAATGTTCAACCTATATATAATGAGCTTGAAGGGCCGTCTCCTCAGAAGATGAATCGGGTTGGAAGGATAACAACTGTTCTTTGCGTTGTGATCTATTCTTTGACAGCCATAGCAGGGTATCTACTCTTTGGGAAAGATACAGAATCTGATATTCTGACCAACTTTGATAGGGACCTTGGAATCCGTTTCAGCTCAGTGCTAAATTATATTGTCAGGGTTGGATACATTTTTCATTTGCTTCTTGTTTTCCCCGTTGTCCATTTTTCCTTGAGGCAAACTGTGGATGCCTTGGTGTTTGAGGGATCGCCTCCACTCACGGAGAGTAGGAAGAGATGTTTCATATTGACACTGGTCCTGTTGGGACTTATTTATTTAGGATCTACCGTGATTCCCAACATTTGGACGGCTTTTAAATTTACAGGGGCAACAACAGCTGTGTCATTGGGGTTTATATTTCCTTCCCTTATCGCATTAAAGTTAGGCCGGAAAGGGGACGGTTTGAGCCTTGTAGAGAAGACTTTGTCATGGTTGATGTTAATAATGGCAATAGCCGTCAGCATTGTTGGAATAATTGGCAATGTTTATAGTCTCAGAAGCAAATCTGAATGATCCTTCTTGTAAAGATTTGAGAATGGTTACTTCTGCCTCTTAAAAATGTGGTGGTTTTATGCAGATTTTCACAGGCAAGACTACTCTTATTTATGTGGGTATGGTGCTGCCTATGTGATTTGAACAGTTGAAGGAAAACCGGTACGAGTAGACCCTTGATCAGGAAGTTAGAAGGTGGGAAGATGAGTTTGGAAAGGTTGAAGGGGGTGAGGGGGTGTGCCCTTGTTCCAGTTATAATTCTCTTTTATACTTCTGAGGAATTCTGATAGGTTGATTCAGAATTCATGGAATGTTTTGGGAGGAAAATACTTCTATAGTCATTGCCACCACTTGTAGGTTATATTGAAATTAATTCAAAAGTAGTCACACAATTGTTTCCCTGGTCCTCAACTACTTCCCCTTTGTTCCGTTCTTTTTCCCCAAAATTAAATACTGTTGTAAATGTATGATCAGCAACATGCTGTTTTGTAAGTGATACTTTGTTTTTGATCTCCAGTAATCAAAATTTTATGTTTTTGGATGATACTATGTTTGAACATCCTGCTTTTAATGAAAATTCTCAATATCCCTTTTAATGTGCCCTTTCTCAACAAGCACCAGATGTTAGAAAGAAAGAAATTTTCAATTCAAGAGTATAACTGGTGTGTAATCTCTCTCTTCTTTCAATCTGAATTTCCCCTTTGGCCTTTCCTTTCGAGTGATGCCTCTGTTTCTAAGAATTGACTATGTGAAATTTTACTTTAAATAGATGCAATAGGCAGTTAGTATTAAAGAACAAGGTATTAATATACAAACAAGAAATGCAGCATCCGTGCATCCCTAATCATCATTCTGTATGATAGAAAAATTATGAATAAATCCCCTACGTATCTATAAAAATGAATTTTGACATTTAGCAGAACCGTCTTATGAACATCAAAAGGCAGTGACAACTACATTTCCTGTGAGATTAAATATATGGTATCATATCTGGAACTCTTCTCATCCATTTATGGCCATGAAAAAGGGCTTTAACTGGAATTTGGAAGTGAAGAGATTATTGTGCCCTCTAATATGAAACATTGTGATTGCACTCTCCAACTCGGTAGAAATCAAGGTTTCTTCTTAGCCACCAAGGTCACCAATAATCACCACAAGAGCACAAACCATCTTGAAAATGGTGGAACCTATTTCCATCTCGAAGAATAATTTTGCACTGAGCAACACTGGAGACAAATTTCATAAACGAATGGCAGTCACCACATATCCGGAGGTTCTTCAAAATCTGAATTGGAGCCCCATTTGGTGTCTGCAAGATTCCATAGGCAACAGCAAGTTTCTCACTGTGGTAGAGAAGGTCATCCTCTTTTTGCTCCTCTGCCACATCATGTAGAACAAAATTAGTGTCCGGCACATAACCTGTTGCTCTGAAGCGTCTGTACAACTCATTTACTGCCATGTTAATCTCTTTAATCTCATCATGTGCCTTCTCCCCCATTAAAAAATAGTGAACCTTATTCTTGATCTGAATCCAGCTGATTCCAGGTTCTTTGGTCACTCCTCTATCGCTCATCATTTCCCTTATTTCTCTCACTTTCCCCCACATACCTCTAGATGCATACATATTTGATAATAAGACATAAGTTCCGGATCTCTTTGTTCCCATTTGGAAAAGCCTTTCAGCCACTCTCTGGCCAAGTTCAGTGTTACGATGGATCCTACAGGCACCAAGAAGTGCTTCCCAAATGACAGAATCTGGTTTTACTGGCATGCTCCAAATGAGATCTTCAGCTTCAGAAAGCCATCCAGCCCTCCCAAGGAGATCAACCATACAGGTATAGTGATAAACAGACGGGGTAATCCCATAATGTTGGCTCATGGAATTGAAATAGGTCCATCCTTCATCTACTAACCCAGCATGGCTACAAGCGCATAAAAGTGCCAGAAAACTAGTTTCATTAGGAGAAATCCCAGTGGTTTCCATTTGTTTGAAAACTTCAACAGCTTCTTTCCCTAATCCGTTTTGAGCATAGCCAGTCAAAACAGCATTCCAAGTGACAATATCTCGATCAGGCATCTCTCGAAAGATACCAAGGCCATCTAGAATTCCACATTTGAAGTACATTGTTATCAAAGCATTGCACACAAACAAACATGTATCCAGTCCAAGTTTGTGTATCAAGGCATGAATTTGTTCCCCAAGCTTGGTCGCGCCCAGGTACCCACAAGCACTGAGGAGGCTGGTTATTGTTGATTCGTTTGGTTTCAATCCTCTCCGTAGCATTTCAAAGAACAATTTGAAGGCAGTATCTCCTTGCCCAGCTTGTTCATAAGCTGATATAATAGCAGACCATGACACCACATCTCGTCTTGGCATTCGTTCAAAAGTTTTTCGAGCATCATCCAATGTGAGACTCTCTGAAAGCCAAGATATGGAGTCTTCCACTCCCTTTATCCTACAAGCTTGTGACACATCTGTGCTTTTGCACTTTGCATACATGGATATCAACCCATTTCCAACGAATGAATTAAATTGGTTCCTTGTTTTAATAACAAAACAGTGTATCTGTCTACCCATCTCAACGTCTTCAATGTTTGCACACGCGAAGAGAGCACTGGTGAAATTTGAACAATTTGGAACAATTCCTGAACTATGAAGCTCAGCAAAGACCTCCAGAGCTTCTCTGCTTTGTCCGTTCTGGATAAACCCAGAAATCATGGCTGCCCATGAAGCAGCATTTGGTACAGGGGTTTTGTAAAAAATATTTTTTGCTTCTTCAAGCATTCCATTCTGGGCATACCCAGCAACCATGGCATTCCATGTGACCACAGTAGGGTTGGCAATCTCATCAAAAATATGTCTTGCTTCCTGAATCCTCCCATTCTGAGCATAGGCAGTTATCATTGCCGTCTGTGTGCCAACACCTTTTTCAGTGTCTCTCTCATACAATGCAATGGCATCATCCAATCTACCACCTTGTGAAAATGCTGCAATCATTGTCGACCATGAATATTCGTTCCTTTCTGGCATTCTCTCGAAAAGTTTCACCCCATATTCCAAACTTCCATTTGCTATATAAGCATTCAAAAATGCCGTGCCCACAACCACATTGCTCTCATACCCTGTCTTCAAAGCCATTACCCTCAAACTCTCGATCAACTCCAATTTATTGAACCTCATCACTGCTAATAATGCGGCAACTAATATGGCCTGGTCTGGCCGCATGCTGCTCCTCAACATCATCAAAAAGACCATCCAAGCCTCGCAACACTCACCTATCTCAACATACCCAGAAACCATAACCATCCAAGAGGCGATATTCCTCTCCTCCATTTGATCAAAAAGCTCACGAGCTTCGCCCATCATACCACAATGACAGTACCCGGTAATCATTGAATTCCACGACACTGTATTTCTCACAGGCATTTGATCAAAAACATCCCTAGCACTTCTTAACAAACCATTTTGCGCATAAGCAGTAATCATAGCGTTCCAAGAAACTACATTACGCTCAGGCATTGACTCAAACACCGCTTTAGCTTCATGTGCACGCCCATGTCTCGCATATCCAGATAGCAAAATGGTCCAAGTTCTCACATTTTTGCCTTGGAATGAATCAAAGAGCTCTTGGGCTTTGTTCAAAAGCCCGTTTTGGATGTACCCTGAAATCATAGTGTTCCAAGAGCCCGAGTCTCTTCGAGGCATTGTGTCGAACATCTGGCGTGCCTCTGTTACTCGGCCGAGTAGAGAGAGCTTGTGGATATCTTTGTTGCATTGCAAGAGATGGGTTAGTGAAGTTGGTACAGAGAGAGTGGAGAGAGACCGAAAGTGACATAAACGACGATGTATCATTGAACATAATCGGAGGTGTTGTAGCCTAAACCTCACATTTACAGAAGAGAGCTTGGTTGTAGTTGTAGAGGTAGCAGAGAAGAAACCAGCTCTACTAGGAACAGAGCGTTGGAACTTGGACTAGACTAGAACACGACTGGAAAGGGTGGCATTTCTATTTTCTTGACAAGTCCGGCAATAAGTTAGAAGTATGGCAGAATACATAACCAATGTGTGTTAGTTGCATTGGTCAGGGCTTTGGTGTACTCCAAGTGGTCTTCGGTTCAAGTCTCATGATATGTGTGAATTTATCCCATTCCTTCCTAACTTTTGATTGAATTAGTACGAATGAGAGAGTTAGAGGACCAAAATGGCACAAAATTTTAGTTGGAGGATAAAAAATAAAACTCTAGTTTAAGTTTAGGGACCATTGTGATTAAAAACCCAAAATGATATCATTGGTTAACATGACTATAAACATATTAATTTGGATATTTTAGTTCATTTTTTTATAAGATTTAGCTATTGGTTTAGTAATATTTTCTTTCCAAAATTGTGAGAGATTACAAATTTAAATGCCCCTCCCCACAAGTAAAAAGGAAAAAATTACTTACAAAATGTCACTCAGATTCATGAAACTATTAGCTATAACATTTTTTGGTCATGGATCATCTTTCACGTTAAATACCGCTCATCAATTTTGTCCATGTTGTTGGATTTCGTCAAAAAGTCTATTAGTTTGTTGACGTGGCATGTATGTGGAGCCCACAAATCCAATTATATAGCACCATGTGGATTAAATAGAAGTTATATTATTAATTTTAATTTTTTAAATTTTTTGTGGCCCACACATGCGTGCCAACGTCAGCTTTATTTTATGGAAGAAAAACACTTCCCTTCTTCCCATGTAAATAGAAATTCATAAAAGAAAGTGGTTTCAAGATCGACCTTGCCCAAATAAGAATATAAAAATAAAAATAAAAAATCTATATTTATAAATATGAGAATGTCTTGAAACATTCACAAATCACACAAATTGCCATATGGTATAACGAATATGCCAAAAGATAAGATAGTTAAATAAATCATAATAATAACAATTTTAAAAAAAAAAAAAAAAAAAAAAAAAAAAAAAAAAAAAAAAAAAGGATAAAAGAAAGACTCACTAATGTAATGGTTTAGAGCAATTTTTCTCCTTAGGAAGGGGCTTGGGTTCAAGTCAGCATCTGTGTAGTGTATGTAAGTTTTTTGTTTTGTTTTAATTTAAATATATATTTTTTTTTATCAAATAGAAACTTCATTAGATAAACTTCAACGTTACAATCAAAGACATCAACAAGACATCTAAAATACCAATCCTAAAAGGGCAACAAACTAATTTGCTAAAAGCAAAACTAACGCGGACAAAAGCCGCACTAAAACTAATAGCCCACATCACCACAATTAGCCATAAGCCCAAACAAGGCCCAGAAACCCAACATAACCAAAACCCTAAATCAACCCATGAATCTAAACAAACCCTACCACCACCACCTTAAGAAGCCCCGTCGCGGCCACGCCCACCATCGCATCCGTAACAGATCTGGGGAAAATATGATTTACAGCGATCTACCTGCGCATAAGAGCGAACAAATAAACCAAAACAATAACTTTGTCAAAGAACAATTGGGTGATTTGCAGCAACCTTCGTCAAAGACAATGTAAAATCAAATTTAAAGAACATGAGCGGCTTTAGGGAGCTGGTTTTGGGAGTAGGAGTTGATTGAGAACATAGATCAAAAGGAGTGATGGGTACTTCAATCTAACTATGGCTTAGAAGAAACCACCATAAGAGACTTTTTATTCAAACCGCCCAAGTGGACTTATTCACTAACTTAAAAGAAAAAGACGAGAAGAGAAGAGGGGGAGGAGGGCAGTGACGCTTCTTCCTCCTCCCCACTCTATGGAATTTTCCTTTAGGACTCACAGAGGGAGAGAGCGGCTAGGGTTTTCGCTTTGTTATGATGTTTTTAGTGTATGTAAGTTTAGTATACTATATCTCCCATCTCAATAAGAAATTTCCTGAAAAAAAAAAGAAGTGATAAAAAAAGAAGAGAAGACATGGTTTGCAGTTGCCCGTAAAAGTATGAGACAGTCACTTTCAAATCTCTAAGGCATTTTGGATATTTTTTTCACAAAAGAATCGTAAACCAGTTTTTTAAAACTTCAAAAAAAAAAGAAAAAAAAAGAAAAAAGAAAAAGAAAAAAAACACCCAATTGACATACGTACAGTCAAGGTGCTAATATATAAAGGGTGGGAGAGTTTGGTGAAACATTGATAATACCTAACTTTACCTTTTGTGATACAGAAAAAAATGAACACCACAACCCTAAAAAGGGATTCTTGTAAACAATAAACCAAAACTATTGCAAACAAGAAAAATTATGCGTTGGCGTTAGCAAAACTAATGCAATTTGATCGTGTGTCTTTTGAAACTGACTCTAAGGTTTTGTGTGATGGGATCAAAGGGGCTGTTGGCAATAGAATCTAGACAATCTATCCCCTCATTCAGGAGATTAGGAAGGTCTCGTATGTCTTCCCCATATCGAATGGAACAGGATCCCCCGTAAAAGGAATTGAGCTGCCCACGTCGCAGCATTCATAGGTGTAAGAGCGGTGGAACTGGAAAGTTGGGTCAACCAACCACCTCCGTCTCTGATGCGTGTCCTTGTTTCTGATGGGCTCCCATGCCTCCGTATTAATGAGTTCAATTTTGCATGGGTTAGGAGCTTTGTTCTAGGCTTGCGTTGAGTCCTAACTGTTTCTTGATCCAACTCTGCTTGTATTCCTTTGCTTTTGTCTCTGTTTTGCTCCTTCTCGTTTGGGTTGTTCAATGCCATCAGATTTGGACCCAAAAAAACAAAGCAAAATGAATTTCACACAGTGCAAGGAGCATCCATAAAATCACTGCATCCAATACTGCAAGAACATCATGTGAGAGGTGAAAACTGGGCTCCTGTTGCAGGATCTCAAACCTCATTTGCATAAAATCAGATACCTTTTATTTTTTGTTTGTTTCAAAGACTCCTGATATTTTAATCATCGACAGAATCATTTATACACTCTGGAAAGAAAGAATATTTGTTATGAATCACATGGAAATAGTGCTCCACAGATTGGGCCCGTGAACCTCTTCTAGTCTAAAACGTAATTGATATAGGAGCATGTGAGTTCATGTCACAAATTTGGACGCAAACAAAACACAATTTTTTTTGGTGTTTTGAACGCTATGATTTGCCTTTATGAGGTCAGTTTACTGTTTTATTATTACAAGGCTAAAGCGGAAGTCAAGGTACAGATTGACTTAAAACTGGCATGCTAAACTTTGCAATGGAATAGTCAAGTATATGTGGTACCCAAAAAAAGAGCACCAAAAAAAAAGAAGAAGATTAGTCCAGTATGACTGCCAATTCCATGTCTTTTCATATTCCCTTTCATTATTTTTGAATAGTCAAGTAAAGTAATATATATTGCCACTCGGGTCATATCATAGTGAAAGAGTATGTTAGGCTTAAGATCAGTGGTTTCAAGTTTGAAACATCTAAGCACCAGTGTGTGTGTGACTAAATCCAGCTTCCCCTTCCTACTTTGATTAAAAATATAGAGTAGAGGAATGTGCCCTTGAACTCTTGGTTTACTTGAAAGAACATGAGTGACTAAGCAACATATGAAACATGTTCAGGAAATTATTTGTTTTCTCAATTGTTTTTTGTAACGCTACAATGTCATTGTTTCCACCAAAGTTGTTTATATAAAATCATTTTCATAAGTTGTTGGGGCATGGCTATATGAGAACATTGTCTCACTGTAGAAAATGGTCCCAGATGACAAATGCTAGAAATCGCTTGTTGTGGACGGCAGACCAAAACCTACTACCATAAATTGATCAGGTCATTTTCAAGCTCAGCCTTCTCACGTTTGTAACGTTCTCAGAAGCTAGATTGGCCTAGAGATGTGAAAGAGCTTTTCTGCATTACTGATTGATACTGTGAGATGAAGTAAGATGGTAATCATTGTTACTTCTCGCAGAATAATATAGAAAAAGTTAGTCTGCACAATCCCATGTCACAGAGATTGCTTATATAGCATTTCAGCAATCAAATGGCACAACAACCAGTTAGGATATTGACTTCTTTAGGGCCTTCTTCAACTTATTAATTAGAAAAATTGCATGATTAAGTAAACTTAGTGGACTCAAAATTTCTTTAATCATTTTAGGTGGTTTGGGGAAATATATATTGCACTCATGCAAAACGGTTAGGTCCAGAAAAAAGGGAACAAAAGGAGAAATTTGAAACAAAATTTGGTTAGTAATTCAGGCCCCAAGAGCAGAAATTTCAATCCATCATATATGTTATTCATATAATTAGACATCATTTTAGTAGTTGAGTAACTTTTACTTAATTTGGTTTAAACAAAGTCTCATTAAACTCTTGCAACAAGGGTAGTAAAAATTTGAGTATATTTGTAAGGGACTTGTAGCTCAGGTAGTTAAGAGCAGTTACTCTGCACCCGAGGGTTCGAATTCCCCTTCCTCTATTATCGCTTGTATAAAAAAAATGAGTTTTTTTCTTTTTCTGCTTTCTTCCAACTAAAGTAAACGCACAAAAACAAGTAATGGGAAATTGCCCAGTGCCACACCCTACTTTGTTCCCAAGCCGTGATTGATGGCACTACAATTCCACATGGAACCCTTGTAGCTCTCACTCCATAAAGTTAGATAGCCATTTAACCTATTTTGGAGGATACTGGACATGCATACCCCACACCCACATTTTTCTTTTTTCTTTGGTCTCTCTCAAGTTTCAACTAACAACCAATCTGCATTACAAAAATCAAACCCCCCGCAAAGCCAAAAGTAAGCCTAAGTCACCACAACTAACTCACCATCCCTAGGTTGGGTTTGAGTGGGCAGAAGGAATTTGATTGTATTGAGTATTGAATAATTTTTGGTTTGGCAAAAAATGGAGTAAGCGGCTACCTACCCTGCCCTTAGGGTAGGACAGCCCCTGTTCCCTACTTTCACATTCCCTCTCCTCCTACTTTATATATATGATCTCTCTCTCCCAAAAGTTAGCCTAAGTCACCACAACTAACTTCACCATCCTTACTTTCACATCTCTCTCTCTCTCTCTCTCTCAATCCTAAATCATAACACCCACAAAATCAAGTTTATTTTTGTTTATTTGTCACCCTACATCATTTGAAGCCATGGATTGGTTCTCATGGCTGTCAAAAACTGGCCTAGAGCCCTCACTTGTTTATGAGTATGGTCTTGCTTTTGCTCACAATGAGCTGGAAGAAGAAGACATAGTCTACTTCAACCATGAGTTTCTTCAAAGCATGGGAATTTCCATAGCCAAACACAGGCTGGAGATCCTCAAGCTTGCTAGAAAAGAAAAGGGAACAAGTCCGCGTCCCATTCGAAAGCTCTTGGTGGCAATCAAGAGGACCAGGAGGTGCTTAGCTGGGTACGTAAGGACGTGGATTCGTCGCGAACAAGACGCAACAGCTCTGGCGCTTGTGACAAGGCCAAGCAATTACAGGTCAAGGTTTAGAGGCGCCATGTTGAAGAGGAACAAGAAGATTATCATGGCCAACAACCAAGGCAGCAGGTTGTTGCTCACAAATGGTAGCCCAGTGGTGGTTTCTGGGCCTCATGTCGATAGCTTTTCGAGTCCTGTGGTTTATGATCTTCAAAAGGAAGGAAAGATGGACGGTGATGATCAATATAATGATGATGGTTATTGGTCGACTGGGGTTGAAGAGATCAGGTGGGATACTATGTTCCAGGACTTGAAACCCACATGAAATTTTAGTTCCTTGTTTTTTTTTCTTATATACTTTTTCTAATTTGGTTTTAGTTTTAGTTTTAGTTTGGTCTTCTTCCTTATTGTCATTTGTTTATGATATAAATTTAATGGTGAGAGATGGGATTTTTTGGGTTCTTCCACCAAGTGAGTTTTTGGCTTTGTGCATCACAAGACTTTGCTTAGCTTTTTTGAGTGTAGGTGGGTTATGCATTTGGCAAACTTTAATAGCCAAGAGGGTCTCTCCTGCTTTTTTGTATGTCACTTGTCCTTATCTTTGATTATAATTGAAAGCACTTCTAGTATTTTAGTGTTCTTGTATGATGTTGTCAGGAATGCAAAACTATAGTAAACAAGGCCATCATTTTGCATCACTGATGGTTGGTTGGTTATTTGTATCATTTTTTGTTTTTTGTGAAGATATTGAGTGAAAATTGTGCTTCTTATCCTTTAAATGTCTTGGAAAAATTTCCATCTTAGAAGCATAAATACTCACCAACCATGAAGATTTGCTATCAACTAGATTTCTTTTTAGAATCCTTAAGACATACTGCTAAAGTAATTATGAGGACCACAACCCCTCAAAAGAAAGGGAAGGAAAAAAAAAGACCCCTCAACGCAAATGAGGTACCCAAGTGTTGACCAGAAAAGACTTTTCCATTCTACCGTTGCGTTTGGGACAAGCATCAAAAGAAGTTACTAAGCTACATAACAGCATTTCAAAAGGCAGAAGAAATGAGAAAAGTGAACTGCAAGTCTGCAAGTGTGATGGAATATAATCGATAAAGTTCAATTCTTATGTGGTATAACAGCCAATATGGTATTGTAGTATCGAAACAATGCAGCATTCCCTGTGGGAAATGGTTGCACAACAAGCGTCATCCGCAAATCCTGCCTGAATACTTCTAAAGAGAATTTATTCTTAGCTCATTGGAAACATTACATATATCAATTCTAATTGCACATCAAAATCAAAATCATACCCCATAGACTTTGGTTTATATGCTAGTTACAAAAGAAACTAAATGACTCTTCTTTAATCTGCCATTTGCACAAAGCCAACAAAGGCCAACTTGGAGGGCAACTCATAGCTCAAATCTCAGCAATGGCAGTATCTATAATATAGCAGACTGAAGCCGCAAATATTCCCTAGTCATCTGAATAAATTTATTGGAGCATGCTTCCACAAACCTGTATGGATTGATGTTAACAGATAATAACATCTCCAATCATTAGTGGTTTGCACTTTGAGGCAGACGGAAAGAACCCCCAGCATAAAGCATTTGGTAAACTGGTCGTACTCTAATAGTCAAAATTATGCTCAAGATTGTCCCCAAACCACAGGCGCCGGCTAAAACTATAAATGTGAGCCTGAAACAACTAGAACCTATGCAAGTGGACCCTCCTTGCTTTGCAGCTTCAGCATCATATACATTACCAGCTAGTAGAACTGAGAAAAGTATTGCACCAATAGGATTGCCAAGTCCCATGAAGCTGTAATTTACACCAAAATGTTTCAAGCCGAAAAGTTCAGAGGAAGTTGGAACCATTATTGAATACTGAGTCCCATAGCAGATACCAAACAGAGCAGTGGCAACATAGAGAGTACCACTGAGAGCTAACGCATATAAAACGAATGATACAATCATAAGTATGTGTGCACATGCCATCCAGAATGTGCGAGGAATTGTTTTCGTTCTGCAATGTACAAAATGATATACCAAATTAGTATTATGCTATTACAGAAGAGAGTTATTCATCTATTAAAATATAGAGTAGAAATGGATCACATTCTACTTGACATAAAAGTAATGCATCCAAGAAACTCAGACATATAATTCCAATCTGCTAACCCTACAATAGAGCGAAGGAAAAAGCGGAAGAACACCCAGTAAGGGACAAGCAACCATGTTTGAAAGCTTTCTCAACAGAAAAACAAAATTGAAGGTTAAAAGAGCACAAGTCAACCAAGTGAGTTAGCAAGATTATTAAGAACATCATTGTAACTAAAAATCAGAACCAGAGTAGAAATAGAACATATTAATGCCCTATCCGAAAACAATTAAGTGGTGTTGGTTATGGTACGGAACTTTGTATAACAACTTGTAAACAAGAAAAAAAAAAGTTTTTCCAGAAACGGTTAGATAGAAGTTAATGAGTAATAACCTGAGAAAGTGTTCAGAAACAGCACCAGAACCCAGACGACCAACAAAATTGCAAAAGCTAAAGAGAGACAACAGTATTGTTGTATCACTAGCGCCTAATGCAATCCCAATCTGGCTCAAATTATTGAGTACTGTTACTCCTGAACCGACCCCAAGAAAATATACAAACCAAAGAAGCCAAAAATCCGCCTTTATAAAAGCTTCATGAAACTTGAAATCCTCTCCCCTCTTAGGCCTCCTTTTCTTCTTCACTGCCCCTTCCCCAATAGCAAGAAGTGTTTCAACATCTGAAGAATCCTCAGCCTCATGAAAACTTCCAAGGTATGTAGCTGATGAGGATGGTGTCAACAAAGGATCTGCTTGGGTTGCATTGCCTTCTCTTAGAGCAAGATGGTCCGAAGATTCAGCTCGTGCCCTTGCAGGAAATAAAGTCATCTTCAACGGAATTGCAAGGGGAGAAAGCAGAAGGATAACCATTATCGCAACCAAAATGCAGGAAACAGCATCACTAAGAGTTACTATCTCATTTACTACTGTGACTGTGAGAAGATAGATTGCAAGCAAAACACTGACAGTTATGGTGAAGAGAAAATGGACATGCTCCGAAGAATCTTCTCCAGAAGCTGGAGTACATGGACGAATAAAGTACATCAAGGCTAAACACAAAACAGGAATCCCAAGAGCAAGGAACAACAACAGATTCAAGGCAGATTCCTTAAGCACCACACTGTATACCACTGTATAAACTGCAGCGCTAAGCCCGATATAGCCTTTGAGAATGCCAGCAACAGTGCCTCTACTGAGAGGGAAGTTCCTCATGTTGGTTACAAGTACAGCTGTGCCTATCCAAGCATTGCTATTTGTGGCAATGCAAAGTGTGATGCATAACTGCCATATCATTAAAAGAGAAATGTTAGAGGTCCAAATGTGAAAGCTAAAACACATATGCTGCCTCAGCTGCAAGCAGTCAAAGAACGGTTATAACTCTAAGGGGTGACAAGTTAAATGAATGCCAAAGTGGTGAGATAATTATTTCAACAGATTACCAGAATGCCACTCAGATGAAAGCATGCTCGCATAGAAAAGTCTAAGTAAATCAACTGCACCACACAAAATATGCACAAAACAAGATTCTTATTGTTACAAGAAAATATGTACAACCAATCACAATGTAGTGGATATCTGATGAACTAATGTCAACCGAAAAAGACACCAAAAAATCATGTAATTTGATTGTATCTATTTAATGTGTTCTTAGGAAAAACATTTGTCCATATACAATGTACATGGAGGATGATGCTACCTGCATCGCTTCAATTTTAATCATGCAGAAGGCTCCACAAAGAGAGGATAAGAGATATTATAGAGATTTTTTATCGCCTTAAGTGAGATTAAGATAGTACTAACAGTATAGGAAATGAGGAAATGAGGTCTGGTCATCAATAATCAACATTTATACGACTTTATAATTCCAATTTTGAAAATTGAATCAGTTAGACATAATGTCTTGAACTCAGGAACATATTTTGTTAAAGCAGACTGGTGGATCCTTTTCTATCTGTATATTTTAATCAGTTTCCTATCAAATAAAAAAAGTTAGGATCATAATTCTTTTTTTTATATTTACTTCGGAACTTAGAAGAGGTTCAAGAGTATGGAGCCCAACTCAACCACAATAAAATTAGAATTCAAGAATAAGCACGAAAACAAGGTACATTCATGTCCCCGGCCTTTACTTTTCCATATTATGACACAAATATGCTCAGCTTTGTCACTCTAGCTTTGACCAAACTCATGCTTGAGTAGACAAATGAATACGCTCCAATATTGCAGAGTCCAGTGCAGTATTGTCAAGAAGTTGACTTTGAATGCAATACCTAAAACTTTTCAATGTATTGGTACTTGCACCTTAAATAGTTTTGGTGCAATAATCTTCAGGAAACATGAAGAATTCCTCCCTTTCGTGCTAAAATGTTTTCTGAAGAGTCCCATTATCAGAACACCTTAAGTACAAATATTTAAGCCATTATCAGAACACCTTAAGCCACAGCTAGTAAATAATCATCTTCAAAACAAATGCATATGACGAGGCATCAGCAATGGTTAATTATTCCAACCACAAATAATGTAGGGGAAGATTAATCACTTTTTACATCCAAAAGAAGTTGCTCCGATGAAAACTTACCCAATGATTAAAATTGCACCACCCAACTCTGGACAATATCTTAATATTAAAATAGAAATAAATCTGGTTCTCCAAACCCAATATTCCTCCTAAAGATCTCTAAGTTGTCTTTGCTAGATTTGACTAATACTTCTGCAAAGTAGCTTCCAAATCTGCACCCAACCTGCCCCTTAACAAGAGGATTCAAGTAAGCAAACCATTTATACAACATGCTCTTGATTTATTAGATGATACACGCTAAGTAAAAGCACTAAAAGATGTTGATACCTACAACATGCACTGAACTAGATAGACGCATAGACTACTAGATATGAAAATTGCTGGATTTGGCAACTGAATTCTATCCTTAAGGTTTCCTGTCCTCAAGAATAATGAACAAAGTTCTGTTAAAAAAATGCAAAGGGAAATAAACTGAACACAACGATCGCAAGGGAAAATACGGCAAGGAATTTGTTCTTTAAGGAGAGGAAGCTGGAATTAATTTTCAATAGCAGGCATTGGTTTTCAGCATGTTAAGGATGCTTTTTGTTTACAGTTATTCTGCTTAGCTCCTTAAACAAAATACAATGAAAAAAAAATGACTATGTTGGTATTTCCTAATCACTGATTTAAAGAATTTCCTTTAAATTGTAGGCTACAATTGGCAGTTCAATATCACTACATTCCCTTTCAAGAGTGAAATTTAATGCTAGTTCAACATCAGATGGAATATCAGCATGCCCTAACCAAATCTCTCATGCTTCCCAAGAAACTAGATAAATCACTAGAAAGAACGGAGAAAAGTAGTAAAACTACCAAGACCATTGTGGCATTCTATAACTGCTGCAATCAAAATTCAAAGTTTCAGACAAGAAAATCTTTCAGGTGAATTTGCAGAAAGAAACACTTACCAGAACAACAAACTTCCTATCTGAAAATTTCAATATCCCACCAATCACAATTTCAAAATGCCAACAATCCAAAACAGAGAACTGGAGGTATAGAGATATGAACTGGGTGACTCACCACAACAAAAGGCATGCTGGCAATAGTTTGGCTAACAGCAAGCCAGAGAACACCATAACCCAAGAAGCAAAGCCCACAACCAACCAAAAGCACAGCCCAAGGAGGGAACTTGTTGCAGGCAATTCCAGGAAGAAAACCCACACTCTCTCCAATGTCACTGGCCACTCCAAGTATCGTCAGCTCCTGCTGACTCAAACCCAGTACGGATTTCAGCATAGGGGAATAGAGTGGGAAGTTATAGGCGTTTCCAGCAGCAATTTGGGCCCAAACTGCAGCTCCCAAACCCACCCATGGCGGTCTGCTTCCAGCTTTCAAAACTGGGCTCGGCATCTTCTGTGATGCAGTTGGATGCTCTGCTATTGGTTATATATACAAAAGGGTTCGAGAGAAAGAAAAAAAAAGGGAAGAAAATGTGGGAAAAGAAGGGAAACGACGACGCAGTGTGACTGTGAGAGGTTAATGGAATACTCCAATCATGGAGAAAACAGTGCCAAGATCAAGAAGAAGGTAAAGGACCGGAGATCAGAGGGCAGGTGTGCGAATCAAATTTATTCCATTTAATAATAATATTCATTGTCTTTTCCATTGTTTACACGTACTTCGCCCGCATGCGTTCATTACGATCGCATAAAAGCAGCAGATTTCATCGCAGTCAATTTACAGATCATCTATATTCATCAGAGAGATCACCATTTGGCCCGTGGGCTGAAGTGGATAAAGCGAGACCCAATGGGTCAAAATTTGGCCCGTTATTTAGGTCCGATTGGTTTGATTCACTTTAAGAGTGGATAGAATTTAGGCGAAGGGTTTGAAATTTCAGCTCAGCGGTCGATTTGAGCCCGTCTAGGCCCAGCCCAGCCCGCCTATAATAAAATAAAAAATCTATAAAATAGTAAAGTTGGCCCAATAATATAGAAAAATAAATAACTAATATTGTAAGTAGCACTTCACGTTTCTACTTCTCCTCTTTTTTCATCTTCATCTCTTCTTGTTCTTGCCTCTTCTTCTCCTTCTCTGTGGATTTCTTTTTCTTTTCTTTCTCTTTAAGTTCCTCCTTGGTCCAAACTTGAGTGAAATGAGATATGTTCACTATTCTAACTAAGTAAGGGCCCTACAATAGGAAGCTCACCTAATTTTTTTTGTTTTTTTCAAAGTCGAAAGATTGCATTCGAATAATTCAGACATAAAGACCGTCAATCACAATGACCAATACAAATACACTAACCACTATACAAATACGAAGGAGTTCAACGGCACTAAACTCCAAAAGAGTTGATGCACTTATTACAACGCCAAAACTACAGTAAACTCAATAAAACATATGAAGAGTCTCCTGAGTTCAAATGTTGCCATGTCAAACCCCTGAGGCCAAAACTGCTCTACTCGTTGCCTCATCCATTGAAAGAGTTGAAATGTTGAGTTTGCCTGCGCATGTCTTGTCCATTAAAGATGCTCTTGGACAGATTCAGATTTGAGACCATATAATTGGAATCCGATAGAACCTGCAAGATTTCCAGACCAATTTTAGTTTTTTAAAAGGAAAAAGAAATGGATAGAACCCACATGTCATGCTGTCATCCCAACCAACCACACTCCATGTCCTAGATTTACTACAGACCGCAGAATTATGAGAGAGCCGTGCACATGTCTCCTTTCCTCAAACAAAGCTGCATATATAGTTGCCTCAAAGCACACTTCATTTCTTTAATCGAGTATTATACTTAGAGATGGATGCTCTTCTTTGTCATATAAGCACTGGTGGCATCCCCTACAATTAAAAAAATAAGAATTAAGAACGCACACACACGCATGATATGTATAACAGGAGGGACATTGTGATGCCTAGGGTCGTATCAATTGGGCCGAATTGACCAAATCAGCTTGGTAGTTGATTTGGTTTAATTACAGTTTAAAATTGAACCAGATCGTAATAATTTGGTTCAATTGCAATTTTGAGCTTTTATAAATCAACCTAAATCCCATCACTATGTATATATATGATTCATGTTACCATGTGTATTTGTTGTATTTAGTATTACATCATCCTATATGCTTACCCTTCTCATCTCTTCTGTTGTGCAACCATGATATTGTGGTCATATTTTACCATGAAAAGTAGTGATCAGATGAATTAGAATTATTTCATTATTTGACATTAATTTTTCACAAAAAAGTTATTTTTTGTTTATGTAGTTGATCACTTTTACCACTAAGGTCCTTGTGGTTTTAATTTGGTCACTTTTGTCTTTGTAATTTCGATTTAAAGCAATTGAAGGATAATTATCAATTTTTGTCAAATTTTTTTAAGAGATATTTAGTGATATACCCATTCTTAACACTAATATTATAGATAAACCCTCCATCATTGAATTTCTATAAACAAACCCAAAAAAAACCCCCAAAAATGACACCTGGCCTTATTGAATTTAATATTGATTATTAAATTACTTTAATGCCCTATTGAGTGTTTTGGGTATTTTTATGAGATTTTGGGGTTGGGCTTGTTTTAAGAAATTTATGGTAGTTTTGTAATTTATAAGAAGTTAAAGCCTCTTTGTTATGTTGTAAATGAGTTTTGGGTGTGTTTATAAAGTTCATTTCATATGGGGTATTTTTATAATTTGGGCTCCCATATTGGGTATATTAGTGAATCTCCCTTTTTTTAACTTCCGTTACTTTTGGAGGGGCAATTCAGTCAAATTATTAAAAAATTCATTCCTTTTAAAAATAAACAATACAAATGGAAAATTTTATGAATAAAAAAATTACTTCTTCTCCCTCTCTCTCTCATCCCCTCCCCTAAGTTCACAATCAGATTACAACCACCACCCAACCCAAAGCCACCCTCACCACAACCACTCCAATCCCACCCAACAAGCCACTTCCCAACATCACCCACCCATCAACCAACCCTTACCACCCTCCCACCACAAAATTTCTCAAGATTTTAGGGAGAAGAAGATATTTTTTTTATTATAAAATTTTCCATTTTGTATTGTTTATTTCTAAAAGGAATGAGTTTATATATATATATATATTTATTTAATAATTTGACCGAATTACCCCTTCACAAGTAACGGAAATTAAAAAAATTAGACAACTTGAGAATTGTCTCGAATTGCTTCAAATTGAAACCACAAGGAGCTTAGTGGTATAAGTGATAAGCCACATGGACAAAAATTGACTTTTCGCCTTAAATTTTTTAAATTAAAATTTAAAACAAAGTTAAATTTGAATTAAGTTTTGATATAATGATCGTGTTGACCTCAGAATCTTTTCGGCTACATGTAAATTATTTCAAAATGAAATAATCAAGTGGGCCGAGCGAACTTGGTAACAAAGACGTCATTCTTTAATGGTGTGTGTATGATGTGCCCGTACCGCAATCAGAGATGGCTGTGGATATGAGTGGGTGATGAATGCGTTATTGGTCTTGACTACTTGTTGAGTGATTGTGGCCAAGGTAGGAACATATTCTTAGTCGTGAGGTTCTAGGCCTCGGCCATAAGGCCTTTGGTATGAGCGTGTGGTTGGATAGTATCACCAAGCTCGGTAGCTTGGTGGTGGCACTGGGCTCGATAGTGCAGTAGTTTCAGACAACTTAAGAAATGTGGGTATCCTAAGAAATCTGGATGGATGGGGAGGTGCTCAAGAAATAACTTAAGTAATGCGGGTATCCTAAGAACTTCTTGTTGACATATTGAATGAACAATAGAAGTGGGGTTTGCCCACAAACACATATATAACAGTTTCTAAATTCTTTGTAACGAGAGTTACACTACATCCTAAGAGAAAACATTGAAAACTGTTTATACCATAATCAACCAAGCGTGTCTAGCATCAGACGATTGACACTTAGGAGAGGAAATACGCTAAACAGGGATACGGACAAGCCCTTAGCAGACGAGCGACATCACCTCCTCTTTAGCCTACTGAAGGAAGGCCCCCTTCTGAAGCGGTAGACACCTGCCGAAGCTTTCGACTACAGAACCTAGAGCTATGACACGTGTCACCTCTACAACAATTTGCACAAAGTCCCACATTGAAATTTTGTGCAAAACCTCCATTTTCACTTCTCTATAAATAGGGAACAGTGTTCGAGTAAAAAGGGTAACTATTTTCTCACATTTATTGTTACTCTGCCAAAATTACCACATACTTTTGCAGGTTCTTCCAACTTCGAAGGTCCTCACATTTTTCCTTGCTGAAGACCATACACTTCTCTTTAAGTTGATCATCCCAAAAAGAGCATCAACAAAAACTAGAAATTACATGATAAAAAGGATAAAGGGTGCATTTTGAGCAATCGTTGGGCTTGATTTGTTTGATTGGTACTGGACCTTTATTTCTTTGATTTTGCTTCTATTTATAGACTTTGTATTCCTCTAGCTGAGACAATAACCCTGGTCGTGCTCTGACACGCATCCGATCAGCCTTTGCTACAGTCTCTAATTCTTTCTTTCTCAGTGAGGCAAGCAAGTGTTTCGACCTTTGTTGTTTGCTCCTTAGTGGGGTAAATGATTCTTCGGTCTATCTGTGTGATCGAGCTCTTCCCTTTCAAGATGCAAGCACTAAGTAAGCAAGCTGCTAGTGTGATCTGGTGAGGCAAATCCTTCCTAGACTTTGAAGAGTTCGGTCCCTTCAATTTGTCTAGGCCCCTAGTGTGATCTAGAAGTCTATTTTAAGCCCAAACCGCTCTTTTTCTCTCCAATTGCCGTCTTTTAGGTCCATGGATGAAAAAACTAGGTCTAACAAGATCGGTGACTATAGATTTGCACAGTTAATTGCCTGTGCGTTAATAAGGACACTCGTTTAATTGCTCCAGCTTTTGTTACTTAAAGCGTTTAATCGACAACCAATTTCATCTTAGCTGCGAAGAAAGCTTAAGCCACGTCCTTTCAAATTGCACAATCAATGCTCAATCATTGCTTGACCTTTCTTCCTTCCCAAGTTTTAATAACTAAATTGGATTTCACAAAACTTTCTATAACAGATTTAATATTTTTAAATTTAATTAAACCCAAAATTCCTATTAAAAAGTAGAAAAGGAAAAGGAAACGATAATCTATAATATTAGAAATAGAATTCCAAATCTTGAAAGGCCAATTTTATATGGCTTTTTAAGAATAAGGAAACAAAGAATGGACCCTGCTGGCCACCTATATTTTAGACATTAATTAAAACTTGACTCAGCAATTAGCAAGCAAACCACAATTTAGTGCAACTTCTTAACCCTGATTAGTACCCAGATTAAATCATTAATATTGTTCACTGTCGTTAATGGAATACAACCTGTGTCAAATAGACACCTTGATTCTTAGTCATTACAAGTCAACTTGTAACCCAAGATGGAAGCTAAAATAACTTCAATCAAATTTCCAAAATTTCAATACTAATCAGGGTTGTGCGGCCAACGTTGTGCTCGTCCTTTACACCCGAGTTTAATTCCCTAGATTAGAAATTGTGAAAATAGAGTTGACTTGTAACATGTTTACAGCATTTTCTACCAACATTTCTTTAATTTGTCAGAAAAATTTCCCAAAGGAAATATTTATCTTTTGTAGTCATATCTTGTTCTCAAACGTCTCAAACATGTACATGTCTGCTTACCCATGATCAATTTATTTATAATATTGGTAAATATAAATTTTATAAAAAAAGTAAAATTAAAAATAAACAACAGCACAATACAGTTAGAACCCATAATCTGAATCTCAAATGAGCATCAATTTGAAACCAAAAAAACCCATCACAATTTCATCTGCCAACACCAAATCAAATTTAAAGAATAATTCGTGGAATAAAAATCAAATTTACAAAAATGAATTAAAAAAAATATAATCTGGCAATTCAATCCCAGAAAAAAGAAATTCATCATCTACAGTGCTATCATCATCCTATCATCCTTCACGAAAAAAAACTGGTGAACGATTTCTGAGTCAACTCAACCGTTAACTCGCTCTTATGTCCAAACTGCCCCTAAATCTTAACTTCCCCACAACAAAACAAAGAATCAAGAATCGGGACTCAAACGTCGTCGTCGTCGTCGGAAGCTTTGGACATTACGGAGAGTCGGCTTGGCTTGGGCTGAAAATCAACTCGGCGCCGCTGGCTGTGCGAAGAAGGCCTGATCAGAGCCGACAAAGCCCTCTTCACCAAGTCCCCTTCAACCCCTCCGATTCTCACCAGCGAGTTTTTCATTGCCGACCTTCTGTAGTTCAGTCTGATACTCGAGTGATAAGACGACGTTTGGCCGTTACTATTCGAGTGGTGAGCCGCTCCGCCACGTCGCGAGTTCTTGTGTAGGGCGCATCGGAACGAGCCCGGGTGCGTCGTAGGGGAACAAAGGCACGTCTTCTTGCTGGTAGTGCCGTTCTGGTAGTTATTCTTGTTGCTGTGGTTAAAGTGGTTCTGCACCGAAATAGAACGGCCCGGAGAACCCGAGCGGTTCGCGAACCGCAAAGACGACGACGACGGGGACGGCGAGCGGTCGTAAACGGAGAGGCGCGTGGGGGAAGCAGAGCGATTGAAGAACTTCGACGTGGCGGAGGAGAAGCTGGAGGAGGTGGACGAAGCGAAGCCCGAGGACGACGAGGAAAACAACGGCTGCGATTTGCGACACGAGTACGTGTCCGATCTTGATCTCGACGACGCCAACGCCATTGTTGTACAGTGGTGAGAGCAACAGAGACGATTTTGTGATATGAGAGAGAGAGAGAGGAATTTGAGTATTCGAATTTCGGTGTGTGATTTTTGGAAAGCGCCGTTGGTTGGTTTGTTTGGTAAAAACCTAAAGAGAATCGAGGGGGGTATATATAGTGGTCTGTGGGGGAGTGGGCGAGTTGTAATTTAATTGTGTTTCGGAGTTGGATTGTGGGTTAGAAACCGCCGAACGGTAAGGCATCGTTCTCGGATCCAATGGGCAAAAGCTATGGGAAGCTATGGGTCCATTGTTAATTTCATCCACTTCCACGCGCCCGAAAGTTTTATTGCATTTCTTTTTAGTGTTTTTTTGTTTTTCTCAATGCATTTATTTTAGGGTTAAGTGTATAATTAAGTTCAAAAATCATTAATCTATAGGGTGCAAGTCCAATTTAATATTAAAATATCATTAATCTATATATATATATAAAGCACAAGCAGAAAATAGTAACACATTAAAATACCAGAAAATGCCTTTGGTTAATGTAAACATTAAGAATTGAAATTATTAATTAAATGAGATTAATATGGTAAATTCATACTTTTTCATATTAAAAAAAATAAAAATAAAAGAAAATTAAGATAATGAATTTTATTTTTATGGAACACAACTACCCATTATCTTTTTTAATTCTAAAATAAATTTAAATTCAAAAAAAAAAGCATCTCGCAGACGAGAAAACATATGCGAAGAAGCTAGTCTATATTTATTAAAGCTTCAAGAACCCAAGAAATGATCTTAACAAACTTAAATGTTAAAAAATAATAATTTGATGTAAAGGGTAAACTAGTAAATGAAAAATTAGATGAAAACTATTCAAAAATAGAGGAAGTTAGTTGAGATAGGGATAACCCACGAATCCCTAACCTTTCAAGTATCGAAATTTTTCGTAACATTTTATCCCTTTAATACATAGGAAACAAAAAATAATATATGTAGCTTTTGCATCACATTTCATTCAAAATTTATGTATTTATATATATTTATAAAGCTGTATTTTTAAGAGACTCAATTTAATTTAATTTATTTTTTTGAAAACATGATCAAGAAATTCGCACGCGATGAATTATAATTGTAATTTGGCGCCAAATTTGGGAAACATGATCAAGAAATCTTTTGAGCTTCATGAAGCGCCAAATTTGGCGCGTTTGTGTAATATCAGCATGGTGCTCAATGTGATGGCGGGAAAGCCACAGAAACAATGAAATATCAGCATCATCATGATCTATTGATTAATTGTCAGTCCGCCCACTGGTTTTCTTAGTTCTCTATCCCTTTCGTATCACCAAACCACCTATCGTTTAAATTCTTGTGCAGAAAGCCAGATTTTGAAATATAAATTTTAACAAATTTGTATTACTATTAATATTTATTTTATTATTTTGGAATGAACCACTTTTTAATTATACTCGTCATTTCAATTAGATGATTATGTCACTGCTGTTAGTTGTAGCCCAAGTATCTTTTCAATGAGAAAGACTTCCATGTCTGAATATCACTATTTTGCTATTTCTGATTAATAACATTATTACACGCGTGATAACACTTATACATTGTGGGAGCAGATATTTTCGTCTCCAATCACAGCACGCCACGTGGAAAAGAAGATTATCTCTTTTAATTAATTAATTGAAGCAGTTTATCTGGCCAATTAATTAATTGGGATAAATATCTTAATTAAATGATATTATCTTTATTTAATAAGATAATATCATTAATTAAGATATTATCCTAATAAAGAGAAGATAATGTCATTATCTCAGATATTATCTTCATAAAAAGAGATAATATCATTTAATTCAGATATTATCTCCATAAAAAGAGATAATATCATTAAATCAGATATTATCTCAGTCCGACTCGATCCCTACGAATTTGGGTAGAGAATAAACTCAGCATATTCTCTACGAAACCCTAGCCCCGAGGCTCCTATAAATAGATGACTTCATTCATCATTCAAGGTACATCTAAACATACTCCTTATACCCGAGAAAAATATCCGAAGCTCTTTCTCCCTCTCCACTCTCCATATTTTCTCCACACGGCTCCGGCCACCACACACGGCTCCGGCCGCCCGGTTCACACCCTACATAAACACTACTCCGTACCCTTTGCTTAGCTATTGTTTTTCTACAAACACTCGAACTAACTTAGGCATCGGAGGGCCTTTGGCCAACACCCCCCGGGTGTGGTCTATTTACTCCAATCTGTTTTACAGGAATCGAGGAAGAGAGAGAAGGAAGATCGAAGGTTGAAGGATCTAGAAGCGAATATTCTCCCGTGAGATTATTTGCACAAACATTTGGTGCTTTCATTGAGAGCACGAGTTATACTCAACGCGTGCTCAAGGAATCCGTTCCTCATATTTTCCAATCCACCGAAGCCTTCCAAACAACCATGGTTGGAAGCAAGCGCACGAGGAGTAAAACCGCCGCGATGGCTCAATCTGTGACGGCCCAAAGCCACTCCACCCACGATCCCGCGATCAACATGGTGGCACCACCACCTCTCGCCACCGTGCCACCTACCGGACCCGCGACCGAATCTAGCAACCTCCGTGGCACCGCCGCCGAACATGGTGGAACCTCCCATCAAGGTGGGCTCGTTACCACCACCGACTTAGGCCCGGTCTTGGAGCAACTTCAAGTGTTCCCTCCATTGCCTCCACGCTCGACACACGCTCTCGCGTACACCTCCAGTGAAACCCTAGCCCGTGTGCAATTGGGCTCCACACGCTTCTCTCCTCCCGATCCACAAAGTCAAGCAGATCTCAACCTGAGAGTTGACCAGCTAGCTCAGAGAATGGACGACCAAAACGCTCTTATGAGGCAGCTCCTTAATCAAATAAGCGTGGCTCAAAATCTTGGCCTTGGACAACCAGGCGAAGTGAGAAGAATAGACGAACGCACCGGTGGGCAGCTCAACGGGGACCAAGCGGGTCGAGCAGGAGCGAGCAGACAAAGGGATGCACAACCACGTGATCAGCTTGCCGACATGTCGCAAGCATCTGCAAGCCACACACAAAGCAACGTGCGAGAAAGGCTCGGCCCACGACTTGACGTCCGTGCTCTCCTGGGCCCGCAAGGGAATGTACTTCAAAGGCTAGGCTCCCAGGGAGATCAAACTGACAATCGCCGCAATGAGGATTGTGAAGAAAGGCGCTCCGCTGCCCACTCGCAGAGAAATATTCACGAAAGGCTAGGCCCCCAGGGAGGTCAACCCGCTAACCCTCGCAATGAGGATCGTGAAGAGAGGCACTCCATTGCCCGCTCTCAGAGAACCAACTCTCGCCGTCAAGCTGCAGAAAATCCCTCGCAATCGCAGTCCACCAACACGCCTCCTAGGCAGCGCGGACGAGAGGACCGACCCTTGCAGACCAACGAGGAGGTCAATCAGCGTCGCCCGAATCACAAAAGTCGCCAACGTGATCGACCAGCACTGCGCGTGGAAGACGTTGAGAAGCTTGTGAATGACCGACTTCGAGACTTGAAGACTGGCGGGAACCTCGAGGATGCACTACGTAAGGAGATGGACCAGGCGATCTCTACTCCTTTCACCCTTGAAATTGAGCAGGCTGCTCCCTCGAAATGATTCTTAACGCCCTCTTTTACATTCTTCAAAGGCGATTCCGATCCCGAAAGCCATCTGAAGCATTTTAAGAGCCTTATGATTCTCTACAAAGCCGAAGACGCGCTAATGTGCAAGGTGTTTGCCATGACTTTGCAAGGAGCAGCTCAGGACTGGTTCCACACCCTGCCATCCGGGTCGATCAGCAGCTTCAAGGAGCTTGCTTATGTCTTCACTAAAGAATACACTTCTTATCGGTCAATCAAGAAGAATCCTGACCATCTGTTCAACCTGCACAAGAAGTCCAATGAATCCCTGCGAGACTACATCAAGAGGTTCAAAGCGGAGAGGGCAAACATTGTAGGATGTGATGACCAAATTGCGTTCTCTGCCTTCAAGAGGGGGTTGCCAACTGAATGTGAGCTATATCGCGAGCTGACCATCTATCCTCGCCAAACACTGGTAGAAGTCTTCGTTATAGCAGAGCGCTACGCATTATAGGACGACAACCGGATCGCCACGAAGAAGGCTGATCAAGTAGCTGAGCAGGCAAGCCAAGAGAACGGCAAGCGCAGATCACAGCCTCAGGAAGGTGCTTCAGCAGCGGAGAGCTACACCAAGTTCACTATCTCGATACACCAGATCATGGCCCAAGTAAAAGACATGCCTTGGTTGAAGAAACCATCGCCTTTAAAGGGAAACCCAACCAAGAAGGATACCAGTAGATACTGCACATTCCATGAAGGGCATGGTCATTACACAAACGACTGCTTCGCCTGGAAAAGGCACCTTGAAGATCTAGTCAGAGACGACCATTGCACGGAATTCATCGCAAGGAGGGCTATCCAACAAATCAAGGATTGTGACGTAGCTAACGATGAACCTCCACGAAAAAAGTCATATGGATCAACACGATCCTAGCTGACTCCAAAAGCCCAGACTGACCACCAAGGGGCAAAAGAGAAAGATCAAGCAGGCGACTTCCGTCTCCTAAGCCGTCACTAGCGACCAAGTTGTGGAAGACGAACCTTTCATCATCTTTCAATGGAAGGAAGTTCTAAGACAATGAAATACCCATCACCTCCAAGGGTACTATCTATGAAGCTCTTCACCTATCAGCTCGGCTCTAAGCAGGCGACAAAGCCTTCCTCACCTCCATTGAAGACAAGTTACTTTTGATGTTACTCATGCACTCATCTTTTTTGTTCAATAAGGCAATGTAGTCACACAGACATCAATACAAGTTCAAGCTTTTCTTTCCAATGAAGTATTCACAAAAGCAATCGACACATCTCCCGACGTAGGCCAAACGGGTCACACACATCGACACGTCCCCGGACGTAGGCCAAACGGGCCACTATCATCGACACGTCTCCAGACGTAGGCCAAACGAGTCACACATCGACACGTCTCCGGACGTAGGCCAAACAGGCCACTATCATCGACACGTCCCCAGACGTAGGCCAAACGGGCCACTCTCAACGACACGTCTCTAGACGTAGGCCAAACGGGTCACTCTCATCGACACGTCTCTGAACGTAGGCCAAACGGGCCACTATCATCGACACGTCTTCGGACGTATGCCAAACGGGTCACACACATCGACACGTCTCTGGACGTAGGCCAAACGGGCCACTATCATCGACACGTCTCCGGACGTAGGCCAAACGGGTCACACACAACGACACGTCCCCGAACGTAGGCCAAACGGGCCACTATCATCGACATGTCTCCGGACGTAGGCCAAACGGGTCACACACATCGACACGTCCCCGGACGTAGGCCAAACGGGCCACTATCATCGACACGTCTCCGGACGTAGGCCAAACGGGTCACACATCGACACGTCTCCGGACGTAGGCCAAACGGGCCACTATCATCGACACGTCCCCAGACGTAGGCCAAACGGGCCACTATCATCGACACGTCTCTGGACGTAGGCCAAACGGGTCACACATCGACACGTCTCCGGACGTAGGCCAAACGGGCCACTATCATCGACACGTCCCCAGACGTAGGCCAAACGGGCCACTATCATCGACATGTCTCTGAACGTAGACCAAACGGGTCACACACATCGACACGTCCCCGGACGTAGGCCAAACGGGCCACTATCATCGACACGTCTCCGGACGTAGGCCAAACGAGTCACACATCGACACGTCTCTAGACGTAGGCCAAACAGGCCACTATCATCGACACGTCCCCAGAAGTAGGCCAAACGGGCCACTATCATCGACATATCTCCGGACGTAGGCCAAACGGGTCACTATCATCGACACGTCTCTGGACGTATGCCAAATGGGCCACTATCATCGATACGTCCCCAGAAGTAGGCCAAACGGGCCACTATCATCGACATGTCTCCGGATATAGGCCAAACGGGCCACCCTCATCGACACGTCTCCGGACGTAGGCAAAACATGCCTCAACCCAGAAACACTCAAGCAGTTCACAAGACACTATACAAATTGAAGTTGAAAAAATAACTGAAATTTCCTTAGTAAAGTGACCAACCGGCCAAAGTTCAACAAAAAGAAGACGGTCAAGCAAGACCAATTATTCTAAATTAGAAAGCATACTACAAAAGCTGAAAAGAAATAAAGAAGTCTTCATCTACTCTGAGACGCCAGCAGGAGATCCCTGATCTGCAGCCACTTCAGCGTCCGTCTGATCAGCCACACTCTCAGCAGCTCCACCTGCCTGATCCTCCACGTCTGCCCCCACCTCCTTTTTGAAGGAGAAGAAATGTTACTTCCTTTTGTTTTTCCAAGGAAAGACTTGGGAAAGTACCAAGATCGCCAGCCTGACAGATTTGATGAACCAGCTCAGCACAAGTGGATGGACTTGACAGAAAGTTCGTCTTTAGCAGATCAGACACGCCTGCATCCTCTGCAAGGGTGGACTTGTCCACCTTGAGATCAGCTGCTGACGTTGCAGAAGAGCCCTTCGCCCAGGCAAATGACTCTCTTGCTTTCTTAGCCTCTGTCAACCTCACTTCCAAAGGAATTGGCGACAATGAATCCACTCCATGCTTGACTGCTCGTGACTCAACAGTTGAAACATGATGGTTGGATGGATGAGCAGACTGCCCAGATCGACTTCCAATCTTCGACTGGTACAAATAACTCAAATTTCTAAAAGGAGCATCCACATCTCTTTGCCTCTCAACAAGTGAGTTAGATCGCGCACGGACTACTTTTCGGAGCATATCACGATCTCCAAACTCATCAGGCTTGAGCTCTCGAAGACTGACATCAGCCTTCCTCTTTTAGGGGAGTTTAGCAAAACACTTCTCATGTCCAGCAGGCAAATCATCAAGGCTTGGACCATCCTGCTTCCATCTATCGACATCCTTAGCAGGGGGCAGTCCACCAACTTCCTCCTGATCGTCGCTCAGCAGCCTCCAGCGGCCAACGCCGCTCCAATCGTCTTTGGCCGCCAGTCACGATGACAACCAGCCTGGTCCCACCCAACTGGTCCTCGCCTTGAAAAAGAGAAGACGAAGAAAAATTTACGTGCTCGACTTACTTTGGGATGCACGGCAACTCCTCTTTTCGACAAGCAGTACAAAATTCTCCAAGATCTTTCTCAAGCTAGAAAGTAGAGAAGTTAAGTTTGCAATGTAAGAAAGAGTGAAGAGAAGCCCTGTATTTATACAAGTTGGACAGCCCGGGTCAAGAAGGAATCTCAAGCTCTTTCCTACTGGGAATCCAACTCCAACAACAGTCAGAAGCCTACACCAATTGAGAATTCGATCTGCAAAAGGAGTCCAACTCACAGAAGAAAGCCCAGACTCAGTTGGAGAGCCCGAAAAAAATAATTTCATCTCCTACATGCCACACAAGTGTCACGCAGAAGCTGGGGGCATTTGTGGGAGCAGATATTTTCGTCTCCAATCACAGCACGCCATGTGGAAAAGAAGATTATCTCTTTTAATTAATTAATTGAACCAGTTTATCTGGCCAATTAATTAATTGGGATAAATATCTTAATTAAATGATATTATCTTTATTTAATAAGATAATATCATTAATTAAGATATTATCCTAATAAAGAGAAGATAATGTCATTATCTCAGATATTATCTTCATAAAAAGAGATAATATCATTTAATTCAGATATTATCTCCATAAAAAGAGATAATATCATTAAATCAGATATTATCTCAGTCCGACTCGATCCCTACGAATTTGGGTAGAGAATAAACTCAGCATATTCTCTACGAAACCCTAGCCCTGAGGCTCCTATAAATAGATGACTTCATTCATCATTCAAGGTACATCTAAACCTACTCCTTATACCCGAGAAAAATATCCGAAGCTCTTTCTCCCTCTCCACTCTCCATATTTTCTCCACACGGCTCCGGCCGCCCGGTTCACACCCTACATAAACACTACTCCGTACCCTTTGCTTAGCTATTGTTTTTCTACAAACACTCGAACTAACTTAGGCATCGGAGGGTCTTTGGCCAACACCCCCCGGGTGTGGTCTATTTACTCCAATCTGTTTTACAGGAATCGAGGAAGAGAGAGAAGGAAGATCGAAGGTTGAAGGATCTAGAAGCGAATATTCTCCCGTGAGATTATTTGCACAAACATACATGACATAACATTATTGGTCGGGGATAACAAAACAATGTGTTTTCCGTTCCGACTAAGTTTTTCTCCTATTCAATAAACAAAAAACTATTTACAATGCTTATTTTAAATGTAGGTCACTCACATTAAATCTTGCACCTCGCTCTAATTAAACCTTGTACCCCAAGACATTCTACATTCAATAGCAAGACACTAACTATAACTTTCCATTGAAAATTTCTGGTTTCGTCCATGATGACCATGGAGACACTAGCTAGCACTATGGGAGGCCCTGGGCATAGGCAGACAAGACGGCTCCTAGGGCCTCTAAATTGGAGAAAGACCTCAATTTGTATAAACCTCTATATATACATATATGTATATTACATTAGAAAAAATTGTACCGTATTAATATTATGTAAGACCCAAATATTGTATAAAAAGAAGAAGCCTATATTTACTCTAAAACTAAAAAGAGGAAACTCAATAAAGGATCAATTAGCTGAAGTCAATTAACCTAGTTGAATGAAAAGAAAAAAAAACCTAGTTCAATAAGTGGGCTTTCCACAAATAGGTTCATTCTAACATGACATATTATACAAAAACCCTTATAGAGCCTATTCAGAGAGAAAAACCCAAAACTAGCAACTTGTCATTTTCTAATTGGTTCTTATAAAATTTTAACCAATTAGACCATGATAAGTGGTTAGTTTTTGGTTTTTCTCTCCAAATAGGCTCTATATGAGTTTTTGTATAATATATCATGCTGAAATGAGTTTTTAAATAAATATCTCAATAAGTTAACCTAGCAGCATATAGAAAAATCTGCTTTGCTTGACTAAAAAAAAAACAAGAATTTTATTGAATATCTATTGGAAGAGGAAGCGCTCTTGGAGGAAGAACAATAAGGTAAAAACCTACAAGACTATTGCTTCTATTTTCTATTAATTTGTTATGTAAATTACATATTGTTTGTTTCTTTTTAAGTTACAATGTGACTTTGAGTTCATATATTTTTTTTAACTTATAAAAAAAAATCACATAAATATACAAAGAGAGTAAAAGACCACATTTTGGTGGTTCGCCTAAGGCCTCCAAAACCTTAGGACCGCCACTGGCTAGCACCGTCATGATTGATGCTGGAATTCGCTAAGCATCACCACCAATCCTTATCAACACCATAGTTATCACCATATCATCATTTACACACAACCACCATTGACAGAAACGTAACATAACAGCCACCAAAATGCTTAATTAGTTTTATTGCAATCGTAATGGGACATCCGCTAGTGATCGACCAAAAACTTGTCCCTTACAAGTCACATTATTCCCAAATCCCTAATGCTCGGAGATTTGAAATTGACCAAAACATTTTTAATTCCTCCATTTGGATGAAGAAATTGAAAATTATATAGAATTTTAAAATGACGGAATTTCAATTTCCATCATTTCAATTTCTAGCAATTGAAGATTTCAGTGTTTCGATTTATGTATGTCGAATTTTGTAAATGACAGAATTTTGTAAGTGATAGAATTTTTAATTTCTCATCTTGAATTCTCAACTTTTAGTTAAATTCTGAGTTATTTTCCCTTCCAAACGGAGGGTTTTGAACAATTATTTCATTAATCTTTCATGGAACAATTTTTTCCTTTTTTGAAAATTCATTGAACAATTATTTAATTAATAAGGTAAGTGCCAGCTTCTAACGGCATCAAGTTTTTTTTTTTGGATAAGGACGGCATCAAGTTATGATCCTGGGATTTTGGAAGTTTCTATGGCCAAACAAACATTGGGTTTGGCCTGCCTACTGACACCTGGCGCTTAGATTATTTTTTTGGTTGGACACCTGGCGCTTACTTGGGGACGGTTTGAGGACCACAAAGCTGCCGTGCCGGTGTTGGGTTTTTGTATTATTAAAGATTAGAAGGCGGCGACTTTTGTTTTGATTTACGTGCCGACCATAGGACTGATCAGGAGAACAAGGTGGCAATGGCATGGCCCAACTGAATTTTCTGCACGCATAGACCAGCAAATGAGTTTAATACAATTTAATTTAGTTTTTAAATTTACACCCGAGTTTTATTTTAGTTATTTAGGTCATAATATGCTATTAGCAACGCTGGTTTTTCCACATGGATTGAGGAGGAGTCATTACGGTTGAGTTCTTTGCTTGCAGAAGATTTAAAAGCTAATGATTCATGTATTTGATCAAGCTTGTTCAAATTATGTACATCGTTAAAAGAAAAAGAAAATCATTTTGGTCCTGCAATTCTAGCACTTGTTCAAATTTGATAATTTCGTCACAATTATATAAAGTTGAAAAAGAAAATCATCAATTTAGATACAATTACCTCAAAAAAAATGAAGAGTTGAATGATCAAAATGACTAAAAAAAAACGAATTTGAAAACAACAGTGTATAATTTTTTGTTGTTGCCAAAGTTATGAAGGAGGAGAGAGTTTTGTTACATGTACACAATTCCAATATGTCATGGGGGTTTGAATTTGAGACCACTGATATTATAAATCAATGTCATATTTCATTAGGCTAGATCATGTTGACAAAGTCAGTATAAATTGTAGGATTTATAAATTATGGTTTAATGTGGGATTCACACACTTTTTACTTCCGTATATGTTAACAAACAAAGAGAAAAATAGTTACATTTCTTCACATAAATACGCAGAATAACTAATAGAATTCTTTGTTTTTTTTTAAACCAAAAAAAATTATGTATGTGTTCTTGATACACACAATATCTGGAATAATCGAGAGCTTGACACAATCTGTTCTAATCCCAGATAATTTTGTGGAATAATCGAGAGTTTTGCAGGCGAAAATGGAAAATTTGCTATTATGAAAAAAAAAAAAAAATTAGAAACTGGGTTAAAAAAACCGCAAAACTTTCTCAAGCACTTATTAATCATGAGAATTAGGAAGAAATAGAAAATGATCTTTTCTAATCCTAAAATTAATTAACTATTAAATATATTTAAGACAATAGCAATACATTACAGCCTATAGGATCCCATCACCATGTTTGCTATACGTTCATCAAACAAAACCTGGTGGGCCTGGGCTTGAAATTCATTCTCCGTTGAAGGTGATGGCTAGAGGGCTTGATCATCAGTTTGAGAAAGGCATTGAGAAGGTGTGCTTTGGAGTAGGTCATCATCAGTTTCTTCATCATCTTCATCTTCGTGGATTGGTTGTTAACATGATGGACGGCTGTGATTGTAGAACTGCTTGATTTCCCAGTTTGTGGGCCCCTCCCCCTGTGCAGGCTGCATCTGAATGAGCCTGGATGTGTGGAAGGAGAGCATAGACATGTACGTGAAGAAGAAGAAGAAGAAGAAGCAAAAGATGATGATGCTGCTCGGTTTTTGTTTGCCATTAGAGCCCGCATGCATGCGATGTGTTCGATTAGTATGAGTACGTCTATGTTTGATAATTAATTAAATGAATGCTGAGAATATCATCTATCTGGTCAATAGTTTGAATTCAAGGTTTGACAACGTAACATTTCATATATTTTAGAGGTTTTTTCTTTATACGTATAAGGTCGAGTAATTCGTTGCAACCGCAACACTAACAGTTGGTAGCTTCTTTTCTTGTGTGGTCAATAAACAGTTGGTAGCTAATTACTAAGTTAAACACCATCGTTTGAATGACAAATAGGATTTAAATATGGACCAAAAAAAAAATTAAAAATCTGTTTCTGGTCCTTTTGCAATAGCCGTGGTTGAATCAATGAAGGGAGGAGAATAAAGGGGAGGACAAAAGTAGTGTAGGTTAGAGAGGAGAGGCGGTAATTAAGAGGGATGAGAAGTTGAGAGGTAATAAGAAATTAACAAAAAACCATAAATTAATAAAAGATAATTGTAAATATAACTACACCAATCAATTTTAACTGACATGACATAAACACAAAATTGAAATGACTTAAACACATTAGCTGCCACGTTATTGTAGTCCGTTAACCCTCTTAATAAAAATATAATTTGTTACAACCATAAGGTGTGGTGCGGTTGAAAAAAGTGTGATGTGGTTGGTAAACTGTTATCTCTAGCTGGCGAGCTACTTGGTGCTTCAATGGCAAGGGTTCAAAATCCGTTGAAAGCACTTTGTGGCCAGGGGCAAGCCGAACCCTGAGCGGGGATTAATCCCACCCTTCGAATGTGGGGACATCGTGGTATGTGTACAAAAAAAAAAAAAAAAAAAAAAAAAAAAAAAAAAAAAAAAACTTATCTACTATCTATCGATTTCTTCTTTTAACAAAAAAAAAAATTGTTTTGTTCTTCATAAATAATGTAGGGTCGTATGTTAAATTAATTGGGATGTACATACAGTGGGAGATATATTAAGGTGTAAGGAGGTGTAGCTGCACCTCCTCTCGCCAGAAAAAACCATTGTAGATGTCACACATTGCACCTTTGCCTAGGCTGGGTGGTGCACTCCAGGTGTAACATCTCACATCGACCAACGCAGAGGGGGTGATGTGCCTTATATGTACATGTTCGTCTCCATCTAGCACGAGGCCTTTTGGGCGCTCACTGACTTCGGAGTCATGGGAACTCCGAAGTTAAGCAAGTTGGGGCTAGAGCAATCCCAGGATGGATGACCCATTGGGAAGTTGCTCGTGAGATCTCAGAAACAAAACCATGAGGGTAGAGAAGGGGGCTCAAAGTGGACAATATCGTGCTACGGTGGAGCCAATCCCCGAGATGTGACAATTTGGTATCAGAGCCACTCTGCCGTGTGGTGCGAGTTAGGGCTGAGCAATCCTAGGATAGGTGACCCACTGGGAAGTTGCTTGTGAGTTCCCAGAAACAAAACCATGAGGGCAAAGAGGGGACTCCAAAGTTGACAATATCGTGCTACGGCGGTGCTGATTCCGGGATGTGACACCAGGTGTTCGATGAAAAGGCAACTCTGTACTCTACCTCAATCACTTGTACTAGAAAATGAAAAATAAAAAAGTCCTAAGGCCATCCATAATAAGGGCTCCAAATGGGCCTTCTCACAATTTACTTTAGAGACCCAAAATTTTCTCTCCTGAGGAATCTTATTTGAGTGCAATAAATGAGGACCCAAAATTCAACCGTTAAATCCGTATGGACAGTTGATATCAAATTTCCCCCTTAACTTACAACCGGGTAGGTAAAACCTAAACCCGAAATTAATAACCAGCAAAGGTTGAACAAGTTCAACACCCACGAGGTTGAAGTTTGAACACAAAAACCCAAAGCACTAAGAAGCATAGCTAAACTGGTTTGAAATCTAGCTTAACGACGGTTGAAGGCTCTGTACTCTACCTGAAAAATTAGTTGGTTTGAGCAAAAAGGGTGAAGCCATATTCCTTGGAACAGAGCCGCGATTCTTCCATTTTGGAAGTGATAGGTGTGAATATTCCAACGAAGGAGAGCTGAGACAACCCTAAGTTTCAAGTGGAACTAACATTTGGTAATTTGCAAGTAATTTAGTGGAATTTCAGTTTAAGGTTAAAGTTACCGTTTTCCCCTATTTTTGTGGTCAATGGTGTTGGATTTGGCATTTCGTGATTGTGGTTTAATTGCATTGTAGTTTTTGCTTGGGCATATATAAAATAATCCAATGAACATGATGTCAATAAAATATCAGTAATAGGCAATTTACAAAGTAACAAACTGTCAATAATGAAAGGAACAAGATAATCTTTGATGATGTTAAAGTCTATAAGATTTATCAGCAATCCCTATGCGCATCTATTTCGTCAATTTTGTAATGTGACTGATTGATTAATTGTGTAGTGTAATGCAATCACTTTGTAATGTAACTGGGGCAATCACTGGTAGGCAAGCAACTCAAGAAAATAGCTAGATAAGTAACTTGAGGAATCGACCCTAAACCACAGGCCTGACCATGTAGTAGAGGATAGACATTTGATAAAAAAAAATATGGGGATAAATTAACATCAGAAATTGGCTTCATAATAAAAGAAACAACGATAATGAATTTATATATTCCATTGTCTGATTGAGGATCCATTACACTTGATTAATCATATTTTTCTTTTTTATTTTGGTTAAGATTTGGTTGCATAAAGTACCTGGTAGTAAGTGCAAATCAAGTTTTGTTAATAACAGTCTCAAATTAGCATGGTATTTAGACATTGTGCATTGGAGATTTAAAGAAAAAAAAGGTTTTATGCACTTACCTTAGCCCATACTAATATGATTTTCATGGTATTATGTGTATTATATGAAGTTTTGAGGTAATTATAGGTATATATATATATACCCACCATTAGAATACCCATAAACTGATTTGTATTTGAGTTGCAGTTTACATTTTCTACTAGCTAATTGCTACATTATTAGTGGACCATAAATTGTTGGTTTGCTTCAATATAGTCTTGGGAATATAAAGCTCATTCAAGTTTATCAAGTATATTGTATCGTTTGACATGTGTACTGAAAATTTAGATACGTTTACTATGTTAATTGAAGGAAAACCTTCGTGCACTCACATCAATCAAACCCTTATTGAAAATATGCATTTCTGAAAAAATATATATGTACGTGCTTACGTTATTTCATCTTGTAGTTGTGTAAGAATCTTTTCAAGAAATGGGATTCAGAGTTCAACTAGTATGACCAAAATCAAAGGCATATGTCTTACGGGTGAATAACTGCTCACACGCGAATCCATGCCTAGCTAAAATTCGAGCAAAGTTGATGAAAGAACAATTAGAACAATTCAACAAATCATGCTTTGGTCATCTTGCAAATATTGATAAGATTTAGTTTAGAGGGAAAATTGTGCATGAGATTGTCTTGCGTCTAGTCGCCGAGTGAGGTGTGAAAGACTTGGATGTACTAAGTTTCTTAATGGGGTGCGACATTTCTCAGTTCGCTCGTTAGGATTTTTGTTTGATCATAGGGCTCCGTTTTGGGAAAGTGTCCGAAATTTCTAGTGGAGACAATGATGAAATCAAACTTAAAGAAAGATATTTTCGAGATGAAGGAATTACATATTCTGATTTAGAACACGCATTTGTGAAGTGCACAGAAGGCAATGACATCTACAAGCTAGCTCTTGTTTGCTTTACTGAGCTTGTGGTTTTGGGAAGGGACAAACATTTGAACATTAATGCCAATTACCTGATCCTTGTAGAGGACTTGGATTCGTTCAACAAATGTCCATGGGTTCAGTGTCCTTTGACAAAACCCAAGATAGTCTATTGTCCACACTGACAAAGTTTCTCAAAAGCTGTGAAAAGGAAGATCGAATAGGGAAGGGGAAAAATAAGGCCTCATGTAAATTAACGGGAATAAGTCGGAGAAATCAAAAAGGCAAGAAGGGTAAGCATGTTGAAGGGCAAAAACATGGCTGGAGTTTTAAAGGATTGACATATGCTTTCCAGGTATGTGTTAATAATGTTCATGTTAGTTATGCTTTGTAAACTTTAAAACTTAAATAGTGACATATATCCTGTGAATTGTGTAGATTTGGGCGTACGAATTAATTCCTAGGTTGGCGGACCTGAATTATTGGAAGATTGTTGATCCAATAGTTGTCCCGCTTATTTTGCAATGGAGAACTACGATGTCTGTTCTCGAGTTCAGATGACATGAGTGTATACATTTTTGAGAAAGATGGCATGAGTGTATATATATTTGAAATGTTCTCATGTAAAACTTTTTTACATTCATAGTTTAGTGATGGAATTTGGCTATATGGAAGCTGTGATTGAATTTTTCGGTTACTTCTTCAAAGACGACGGTTAGCTGCAAGGAGATGTAAGTTTAATTGATTATACATTTCTTTTCATGTACAAAGTTTTTGATATTAGCAACAAAAACATGTGCAACACATTGATTTAAGGTTGTCTCTCTTCCGGAAGCGGCAACAAGAATTTGAGGTTGTAGAAGTATCGGATTGGACATCCACATATGTAATTTTCATGGTATGTCATAGGCCTTGACTGAGTACATTTAATGATGACACATTATATGCATACTTGCTTTGTGGAGATGTTTACAACTTTTGTTTTGTATTTCACAGAATCATATCCATACTTTTTTTTCTTCACTGAAGTTTGCAGCTTCACAAGGGTTTATTTATAACTGGACTTGACCTAACAAAGACTTACACAAGACTACCAAAGCACAATTAACAAGCACAAACAAATCTAAATAGAAACAATCATCATTATCAAAACATGAATATTAGGGAGTTGGGGGCTGAGTTTGGTATTTATGATGGAAAAGAGCTCATAACTTCTTAGAGGGTTGCGATCATCATAGGTGGTGCTCTGGTGACTTTGTACACAAAGTTTCATTAAGGCTTCCAATTATAATAAAAATGCAAACATAGAGACACTATACGGTATGGTGTGGAGGCACATGCAAAACAAACGTTGGGGAGGCTAGTGTAAGGTGGCATTGATAATGGTTCGAACATCCCCAGCACTAAGCCTTAAGTCTAGTCTCCTCTACACGAGCCGCATCACTAACTGCCACTGTGGATAATGATTCCACTCCTCCAGCAGCTCCTCATGATTCTTCAATGCTACAATTGTTGCTACCATTTCCACGTCTGTGATGGGTTTCGTTTTTAACATCATCACGAATAGTAGAATACCTGCACTGTAGATATCTACAACACAATCCACCATTTCATATGGTGCTTTATATCTACCTTTCCTGTCTATGATTGAATCACTTTATCATCATTTCATCATTCACATTTCGAGCTAGTCAGAAGTCTTCTATCTTCCACACATCACCACACCTAAAAATATTAACAGGAGAAAGATCTCCATACATAATTCCTTGGGCATGCATATATGTAAGACCAGCCATAATGTTTGCAAAATGTTCCAACACATATACTTTGTCATAATCTTGTCATTCTCTAGTATATCCTTTAAAATGTTGTCACACAACTCCATTTGAATGTATAGATGAGGGAGATCAACATAGTTGACTGGTGAACTCCTTTCATCATCATCATCCACAACATCATTTAGACCAAACAAAAATGGCTCAAGCCATACCATATGGTACCGTATGATATGTTGATGCTGCAGCTACGACATGATCAACACCTCCCTTCTAACCCGTAAACTTGAATTTTTGTTCATCTCCTATTGCAATTTTATTCGCTGCATAAGTTGTCTCGTCTATCTTACTCTTGTAGGAGACAACAACGTCAAAGGCTCTACTACCAAGGACTTTAACCTTATCGTACTCTGTGAGCAATCTTGATTGCTTGTTCTAAAAAAGCTTTGGATCTTGATTATGACTTGGGTGAATGGATAATAAATTGTCTCCATGTCGAATCCTACATAGGGTTGTGTGATAAGGGTCAAAGTTAAGGCACTGTCTGGAAGCACACAGATTGACAGAACATATTTTGATTTTTTTTTTCCTGTTTAGGAAAACATTGTGTGATGTCAAACATATTTTGATCCAAGTTTCTATAGAGTTCATTGATGTATGAGTTTCTTTGTTAAGTACATATGCTTACTTGTATCTATTAAATCCAAGATCAAGAACTTAAAAAACTCAGTAAATTGGGATGAAAGGATACCAAAAGGGATGTGTTGATCATGTCGTAACAAAAAAGGGATGGTCGGGTGGAAAATTAGAAACAATTTACTAAAAGTTATGAATGATGAGATTCCGGCTTATGTGATGAGTTGGCAGAGTGTGTATAAGGTTTATGCCGCTTGTATATTGACGAAGTATAAGTATTGGGTGGTTCTAATAATTGATCTCATTAAATATGAAATCAAAGTGTATGATTCAATGGTTTCACTTATTCCAGATGAGATCTTAAGGGAAGAACTTGCCCGCTTTCAACTTCGCTTCTAAATGTTTTGAACGCTATAGAGTTTTATGAATTCGGTTTTTACGCAAACAATTGCAACCAAAACTGGTGGTGTCCGTGGCCAGTAGAACATGTGGATGTTCCACAACAGTCTATTGAGTGAGCACAACATACCAAACTGATTTTATTACTTTAAACTGTCAATTACGCTCGAATTTATTCTTTAAATTGATCGGGTTCTTCTTTTGCTTTAAAGGTGATTATGACATGCTCATGTTGAAATACATTGAGTTTATGAGCGCTGTGAGTACTTTAACTAGTTGCATCTTGCATAACATGCATAATGTTTGTACTGAAGATGTTGTAATGGAGTTTGTTTTTTAATTTCAAACACTGCTTTCTAGTCATTCTATTCCAATATAGTGCAAATTTCATGTATCCTTCAGTTAACAATGTTTATAAAATCGTGCACCAATATTTGTTGTTAGTCAAGCTCATAATCAACAACCAGTCAATAATTAGAATATAACATAAGGAAAATTGCGTAGTTATGTCACACCCCGCTTTGTCCCATATGACCATTTGGTATAAAAGAACAAAGTAGTTGCCCATTACAACACTGGAAGCATAAAAAACATATGCTTATCTCTACCACTTTGCAACTAAGAAAAGCTAATGTCAATTGTTGGATCAAATGTTCACCAAATGAAATAAAATATATAACATATTGGCAATTCAGAGGAAACGACAAACCACTTTTGATTCCAATATAACCATTGAAATCAACAAATTAGTCGTTGCCTATTACAACCATGGAAGCATAAAAAACGTATGTCTAGCTCTACCACACTTAGCAACTAAGAAAAACTAATGTCAATTATTGGATCGAATGTATAACATATTGGCAATATGGTCAAACGACAAACCTCTTTTCATTCCAAAATGATCATTGAAAATAAACAAATTAGGCGTTGCCCATTATAGCCTTGCCACTCAATCATAATAAATAAATAAAATTATATCATTAACGATGTCTGTTTGTGTAGGAAACAATAATGCCAAATGAATAAAGAGTACAGTCACTGCCTTGGGTTAACGACCGTGACCCAAATGTTGCGTCAAATTCTGGCATGAACAAATTTGCTTGAGAACTATGCGTAGGGGATGTGCTTCGATTCGTATCTTCTCTGTTACAAGGGGAACCTAAATGACACATGAAACATGAACATAAAACAAATACTTTTTGTTGTAAATAGTGTTAAATATAAATTAAGGATGTCATCTTTAATTGTATAATAGCATATGGGTTAACAACTCGAGGACGCTTCTGTTTATTGTGATGGGTCTTCCTACAGTCAGTGCAACGTCGTCTCAATCGATCTATAACATTTTTCTTCACTCATACTACCTTGCCTTTGGATCTCACATGCTACGGATCCTTCAGTTTAACTTGATTGGAAGTATTTCTCACATCTTCTGCAGTAGATGGGATGTAGTTACTTGCCTTCCCCAAACACTTCAGTGTTGGCTTCAGAAAGTTTGTTGCAGTAATTTGGAACCTTTCTCTGATAGTAATGCATCATCGATCAATTGACCTGAAAGCATGGACAACATCGATCGCTTTGATACACGACCATTATCAACACAATCTTTGATTACATTGCCCTCCGTATAAAAAACAACACCTCACTATGCACCTTTCATCTACCTGCTTCTTCCTTAAAAAGATGAGTTAGTGTCGGCATAGAATTTCAGAAAATTCAAATAATTTGCAACTGCACGACACTATGTCATTAGATTTGTCATAAACTACCTCTTTGACATTCGAAACTCCTGGTGTTACCCTCTCTGTTATGTTGTACACACAAATAGTATCATTTGAATTTGAACGTTCTAAAAAACATGAAACACTTCTCCCTTGCTCTGGCTGAAATTTATTCTATAACATTTCCCTCATGTAATTGTCCATAACTTTTCTTTCCATTGGAGTAGACAGTTGCGTTCGAGGTACTTCATTGTGATCAATATGGTCACCTATCAACTCCTTATGGCGCTGATGAGCAAGAGCTCTCTCAAATCTTACGATGAATTCTATAAAAGAATTTTTCCTACAAACGTATTGCTTGAAAAATGCATGAGAACTTTTAGCTGAAAAGACATGTTCATAATAGGCTGGAATCCAATTGTGACGCAAATCAAAAATTGAATTCAACCATATATGATCCTTCAATCCATTACTTCCAACTACTTCCTGCCATTTGACATCAAATTCTTCCTTCCTATCTATATCCCATATACAATTATGCAATTCCTCAGTATTATATCTACTGTTCAGTTTCTTTGAGAACTTATTCATTATATGCCATATACAATACATGTGATATGTCGTAGGGAGAGATTGCACGATCGCCTTAGCCATGGTTGCATCCTGGTCCGTAATGATCATTTTCGGAGCAGTACCTGACATTGCTTTTTTAAATTCTTCAGACAACCAAACAAAGGAGTCTATCGTTTCATTCACTAAAAAAACACATGCAAAAACAATTGTCTGCCCATGATTATTTAACCCTATCAGTGTCGCGAACACCATACCATATTGGTTGGTGTTGTACATGGTATAAAAAAGGACTACATCTCCATAATATCCATATGAATGACTTGAGGTTGCATCTGCCCAAAAAGAAAAAGAAGTTAGTCTTCCATCTGAATCTGCCTCTATCTTGAAGTAAAAGCCAACATTCTTTTGTCTCTTGGCTAAAAAATAATTTTTAAAAAGCTTCGCATGAAGGTCTCTCTCCCAATTATATAAATCTTTACTAGTCCACCCAATTGTACCTCAAGAAGACTCATTTGTTTATGGGTAGATATATTGGCTGCACTTAGGTCTCGGTTAAATACTTTCTTAGACTCCGTAACTATACGGTGGCTTCTCAACAAATGCACTTTATCTGGGGTTGACATTATATGGTTATGTTTCTCAGTGAACCAAGAAATTATGTACTTGTTAGACTCAACTATATTTGAGGCCACAACTCTCAATATATATGGTACAATTTTAATGCAATCTTACATAATATTTATTCTTAATACAACAATTACTCATTTCTTAATCATACCAATAAGACATATATTCATTATAGCAGTTTCTCGTACCTATTCACTATTTTATCATATTTTATCACCAACATTTGACAATTTAGTGATATTTGTTTAACATATAAAGAAAATTATAGGTATCTGCACTAGAGTATAAGACACTTTTAGAAATTTTCGTTCTTTTAACCTAACAACAATTTTGCTCTCCACCATACTCGATGCAATCCTAACAAACGGTCTAAGTGACTGTTCATATACTATATTCCCCATCGCCATTGGGTTTTTTTTTATTTTTTATGGTTGAAAAGAACTTTTAATACGAAAATGGAGAAGGGAGGAGGCAGCACAAACTACTGCTTCACAACCAAACAAACTAGGGAACCAAAGAAAAGCTGAAACATGCCCTTGGGTAACCCACAGAGACCAATATTCATAAACATTCCAAAACCAAATTCAAACTAAAAACTACAGAATGTTCATGATCACTTACTAGTAATGCACTTCCCAAGGTGAGTTGAGAAAAATTGGGCGAGTTGAGCTTCATATGATGTCACAGACTGTACAACCAAGGTGGGTTGAGAAAAAAAGTGGATGAGTTTGCCCTCAAATCTCGTCCAAGCTCAACGAAGAGCCAGTTGAGTGTCTTCTCAGTCAAATTAGTGGTGTATTATGAGTTAAATGATTTGTGTTTCATCAGGATAGGTTTTTGTTTTGGGTTGAAAAGAACCTGGCTGCAACTTAAGTTACTCTTTTAATCCAACTGTCCAATTTTATCCAATAACTACGATCTGTCCTCATTTAAGTTTCTCAATTAAGATTCCTCAAGAGAGACAAGCTCTTAGAGACCTAATCCAATGGTGGGTCTCTATGCCCACAATGGATTGGAAACCGGTCTCTTTCTCTGGCCGATTGGAGTCGCAAAAAAAGCCCCCGACATTGGTGGTTGGTGTATTAAAAAATATAGGCACTTTATTTTGGGTAGGATTTCACCTTGCACCTTCATCCATTTTTCTTTCTTGGGATAATTTTTTTTAATGTTTTTAATTTTTATCTAGTTAGTTGTTTTCACAGATTCTTTAAAGGTCAATATGTAGGTTATATATTTCAATAGCTACGTTTTTCTAAAGTAAAATTAGTACCAGCTTGTTCAATTTTTATTTAGCTAAGAATTTAATGGTACTTCTCTTTAAAATGTTACAAGTTGATGAGCTATGAAAAAACAAAAGTAACTTACAAGAGGTCGTAAGTTTGATTCCCTTCTTCCTATTGATGAAAAAACAATTTAATGAGTTATGTTGGATTTCCTGTTTTCATTATTTTATTTTCTTCTTATTTTTTGAAATTTGGTAAAACAGGAAAGTAATTGTTAAATTTTAACGTGCTTGATGAAATAATTATACTAAATTGGAGTCTCTAACTCTTCAAACTTTGAGTACAAAGTACTATTTTCGTTTCTTCTTTAAAAGCTTTGAGAAACATTATTTATCACCACATGTGCTCACTTCATCTTTGAGAAACATTATTTCAATTTTAATCTAGTTATGGAGATGAAGTTGGTATTGGTTTTATTTGCGTTTGTTGTAGTGCAAGCCTACGAAGAAGATGCTTCTTCTCTTCCCCAATCTCGCTTTCTTTTAAAGTTACCTCTTATGTTCATCCATCCATTTTTCAAGATAATGATTTTCTTAAATTTCCAAACAATGTAATTTCTGAATTTATTCGTATCAGAAAAAAAAAAATCCTAACTATATTCCAAGATATTATTGTGAGAAAGATCCCTTTCCTTATAGAACTTCCCATCCAAAACCTCCTAAAACTCCTCCTGGTACTAAAATTTTTCATCCTCCACCTAAAGGTCCTTCTAATCCCGAAAGCCCTCCTCCTCCTCAAAATCCTTCTTTTGTCCCTAAAACTCCTTAACTTATAAAAAGCTCTTAAAACCCTAATGCTTGTTATCGTAATAATAGAGCTTAATTCCCAGACAGCTACTCTGTTGCGACCTTTGAGTTTGCAATTGATTGGTTAGTGGGTGGGTCCCATATGGACACGTCATCAGTTAATGTCAGACCAAACGGTCAACTTAACGGAAGGGTTAAATTGGTCAAATTTGAAAACCATAGTGTAAATTGATAAAATTGAAACTCGAGGGCCCATATTGAGAATGACCCCAAACCTTCAGGAGTCTTTTGACATTAGCCCAAAAAAATATAATGTCCTACTTTTTTTTTTTCAAACTTTTTTGAGAAAAAATATTTTATCACACCACAACTCGTATAAGTTGCATCTGATTTGTTCTCTGTGTAGTTTTCACCTCTCATTTGTGAGAGTTTTTAATCTCTCTTTTGTGAGAGTTTTATTTATGTTGTTATGGCTTGGATTTTTCAAGCTTGAACTCTTTTTGATTATTCTAAATTTTGCAATATTAGTTGAGATGCCTATGCTAGAATTTCTTCGAATATGAATGATAGTTAGTGGAGACGCACCAGATTGTCTTAATTTTGATGTTAGACTGCTCTGTTATTGTAATGGCCCTTTTGTGACTAGTTTGTATTGGCCTGTGTTGCACGGATACAGACACAGAAACGCGACATGGAAAAACTCAAAAAACTAGGATACAGACACAGACACAGTTAGGACATGACAATTAAAATAATAATAAATCCTAATAAAATTATAATAGTATATACTTATATATATATTTTAAAAATTGATACTTAATACTTCAATGTCATAATACCATAAAACAAATTCATACTCATTTTAGTTAACTTAGCATTACTCATCTTTCCCTAAACAAAATAAAGAATGATACACCTATTTATTCACACATATTCATGATTTATCATAAACCAAATTTCACACATATTTCCGTATATGTTCTATCATATTCAAAATAAGAAAAACGATTTCCTACTTCATAAAATAAGAATTGAGTTTGCATTAAAAAGAAAAAAGAAACAAAAGTGAATGAATTACCCACTCAAAAAGATGCTTCTCTCACGACCAAATTGCTATCAATATCCTTAGTCAACCAAAAATATCAGCTCAGCTATGAAAAAAAAAGGAAAATTTTTTTTAAAAAAATATTGTTTACATTTTTAGCCCACTTTTAAAAAATATTTCAAATATATCCAAATAGTTTTCAATAATTATGTTTTGACCCCGGTTTTATTTTATAATTTTCAAAATGGTCCCTACCGTGTCTTGACTTCAGTTGATTGTGTCCAAAAGTGTTTTAACCATGTTCAAAACGTGTCTTGACCATTGACCCGTGTCCAAGCCATATTCTTGTGTTTGCGTTTCCGACACCCCACACTTCGACTTGATGAAGTGTCCGTGCTATATAAGCATTGGCCCTTTGTAGTTAGTGACTTTTTTAATTGAATTATAAAAGCAATCATAGATTTCTATTTTTTTAAATAAAAAAAAGACTTCTCCTTTCAGTGGTTTTTGTACTTCATTGATCTTGTTTGAACATGATATTCTCAACTCTTTTTAGATTAATTAAACTTAAGTACTTCCTCTGTGTATCAATGTAAATTAATTCCGCAATTCCTGATCAGAAATATGAATGAATAAGTAAAAGTTGTCACTCACTCTCACCATCAACATCATAAAAAATATAAAAAATAAAAATCATCAGCTGGCCATGTGGTCCTATATATAGCTTAAAATATTATGCACCCACTGAAGCAAATGCACCCTCCTCCGTTCAATGTTGATAAGGTAGCAGGTAGAACATGTTCCACAATGATTATAATATATATTTCAACCTTTCTTCCTTTTTTATTTTTAAAGATATATATATATATATATATATATATATATATATATATATGTTGGTTAGGCTTTATATGAAACATGGGAGAATTTGGAAGTTATCTCTATGGTGATCATACTGAGGAATGGTAGGTAGAGTATATATCAGAAAGACCCAACTGTCTTAGTTCTTTTTATTCCCTTATTAAATATAAATCTTCAGAAGTAGCAGGTATATATATATATATATATATATATATATATATATATATTCTGACAGTGTATATATAGGCTTAGCTAAATTGGATAGAGCAGATGTACTCCCCATTCTGTATCCGAGTTTGAATTCCCTTCCTCATAATTTAGATTAATTTAAAATAAATTATTGCTTATATCAAACAAATAATCCTGACAGTTAATAATACCCTAAGCTTAAGCTTAGTTGGTTTTCATTATTTTTCTAAGGTTTTCATGAAATGAAACATAATTCAATCCATTTGATTATTTTCTAGTAATGTGCCCAAATGCTCCTACCACCGTATGAAATATTTAAAAACAATTAGTATATCATGAAAAATATATAAAAAGCTCTGCGTCACATGATCATGGGAATCTCATGAAATTCAAAGTAAGAAATGCAAAAACATAAAGCTGGTCATCTTAATTTTAAAAGTATAGTGGCCAAGAAATTTGGAGGATAATGATCATCATTACAATCATAATTAATTAATTTCCTCAAAGGAGAATACAAAAGAAAAAGAGAGAATCAAGCCATTAGCAAATAATCACTACTGCAATCTTTAGATCATTACACAATCCACCCTTGAAAATACAACCAATTAAAATAAAGAAAGCACACACCAAGCTTAGGAAGTACAAATCAAGAGGTTTCAATTAGCAAAAGAAGAGAAGGAAATAAGCTAATTAGGCATAAAGCATCACTAAGTAATAGTGGTGGTGATATGGAATACGCGACTGCAGGAATAGACAGAGCAAAATGCTTGCAATGTCATCAAGAGCAAGAGCAACATGCCAGCAAGCACAGCAAGAAATTGCCAGGAACCAAAACATAAACCTTCATAAACTTTGTCATTTTGATCTTCCATCTGCCATTGTAATACTTGTTCACATCTTCAATTGTCTTGTCCAAGAATGGCACTTTGGTCAATCTAATGGACTTGCTCATACCATTCCAAACGTTGGCTACTTCTTCATCGCTTTTCAAATGGTTCAAAATTATACCTTTCTCTCTAAGCAGTTTCACGTCCTCCTCAGTGTCTATGATCCCGTTCATTAATTCGGTGTAACGGGTTAAAACCAACGGCCCTGATGCATTTGATACTTCATATGCTACCAAGTTTCTCAAGATCACCTCTGTATTTACATCTAGGCTTGTAGCAGGGAGGTAAAATGTGACTGTTTTAGGATCAAAGGAGATGGTCGAAACGCTACCTTTTGTTTTCACAAAACAGACTCCGGATTTTACAAGATCAGAAACAGAAGGGATGGTAATCTCCTGTATCAATGGTGGTTTACTAATGCTATTGCTCGAATTCTCATTTTCGGGGTTGGTTTTCTTCTTTGTCTTGGGTGGAAAATAAATAAGAAACAGGTTGTTTCAACATTGCAAATCCAGGAAGGTTGGAGAGGATTGTCCAAGGCAATTTAAAAAGCACTTTAACAGGACCAGATACAAGTAGTTTTTTCAAAAGACGTACCGGACCTTCGTTTAGTTTCGACAGCAGCTTCCATACCTCCTGCAGAAACTGCTTCACGAAATTCGGGCTATCATCAGAAGATTTTGATCCCTTTTGTGGTGTGGATTCTCCTTCATCCTCTGCTTCCACAATTTCAGACGGTCGACGTTCTAACTTGGGGGTGATCATTTGGTACAAAAAGTCTAGCAAATGAGCACATTCTGAGACTTGGATCTTTGGCAGGTCTTGATCCACCACCTTGAATGGTGAAAGCTCCTTGCACAACCCCATTAGCATCGAAAGCAGAAGGTCGTCGGCTTGTTCCAGTGATGTGAATTGAAACTCCAAAATTCTTCTGGACACAAATAGTGGGATTTGGTTTTCAAGCATCACCAAGTCCCTAAGAATTGCATGGTGAGCTGACTTGCTCCCTGAAACGTCAACCAAGTGTGACATGCTTGAGGAAACTCTGGTCAAAACCCTTCCTTCTTTGGCCCCATAGATTTGGAGTAACTCAAGGAAAAATGATGCAGCAATGGCCATCATCCAACCTAAAGTGTCACCATTGAAATCCAAATACTTGTGGTAGCAAGCGCGAATCCGCGGCTCCAGCTTCTTCAATTGCTCAACAAGGTCTTGGAACTTTAGGCATTGGAGCTGCTTTTGGGTCCTTTTAGCTGCAGCCACTTTGTACCTCTCCATCTCATAGAGCTCAGGACGCAAATAGTGGTAAGGGCCAATTGCAACTTCTTGAGGGATGTAGGAATCTGGTTCACTAGCCAAAAGGGCCTTGGGGACATTGAAAATGGAGACAGGGATTTCCCCATCATCCTCAAGCTCTTCCTCTAGTGTTTTTTGGATTTGAATGACCCATTCAAACTCATTGAAGTGTGCACTGGATTTGGAAGAAAATGTTGGTTGGAGAGAAGACATGTTTTTGTTCTTCTCTTGTAGCTAGGGAGAAACTTTTTGGTGGGTTGATGGCAGTTTGTGAGAGTATTGATTGTTGAGGAAGCTATGAGAATTTAGGAGATCCCATGAATTAATACTGTGATTAATGTACTTTATTGAGTGTTGAATTAAAAAAATGTTCAATGCGTTTTCCTCATGCTTGATTGTTTACCATTTTTAAACCCACTTGTGCAGGTGGGAATAACATGTTGGTATCAGAATTGAGATTTTTGTTTTACATGTTGCTTAGTGAGGACACTGGGATGAAAGTTCCATGCTTAACTTTTTCTCCATAGGTTTTGGGTCCAGCAAGTTTGTTTTCGTCTACTTGTATACAAAGTCAAGTCCACAAAACCGACAATTTAAACTTGCCTAACTAATTGGCCGGAGATAGTAATTATTGAATATTATATTGTCGCGGCGCGGTTGTCGGAAATTTTCTTTTTCTTTTATTTTATCATAAATTAGAGATTCGAACTTAAAAGATCTTTTAACATTAGAAAAAGAAGTATAATTAATTTAGTAACTGATTCGAAATTCATTACAGTGTCTCTTTTGATCGCCAAATTTGAATATAACTTGGTTTTTAAGTTTACCTCATGAGTCATGTATAGAAAAAATAAACTTAACACAAAGAAGATACAAGTTAACTATTTTGTAATATGATTTTCTTTTCACAATGGGCTAAAGCCCATTCTAATCTGATTGTCATGTGTCAAATATTTATTGTGTTACATGTTTTGTATTATGTTACACCCAACACACTTGATCAGACCTAATCCCTCAAAGTTTCTTTCTTTTGTCCATTCGCGCCGCTTCTCTCGTCTTCCTCACAGCATGACGTCTAGGTTTAGGGTTTTAGGGTAAAGGGAAAATTGATTCAAAATCAGATTTTAGTTTTCATTTTCAACCCTCGTTCTCTCGACTTTCGCTCCACCTCCTCTCACCTCGTTCGAGCTCCCTACCTCTAGCTTTCCATAAAAGGTATGAAAATTTCTGAGTTTCTCTTTATTTTTTGTTTTTGGCTGTTTCAATAATTGGGTGTTTTGGACTGTTTTAATATGCTGCTAATTGACATTTAGACTGATTTTGGTTTTGTCATTGCTGTGTCAAAGTATAGTGTAGTAGAACAAAGAAGACTTGAAAGGAAAAGGAGACAAATGCATAGGTTTTTGGGTTTTACCCTTGAAATCAGGGCATACGTTTTTGTTTTCTTTTCTTTGTATAATTTTTTTTTATTCATGACATTTACCTTGCTGTTTTTTCTGGGTTTGTTCTATATTTTTATTGTTCTATTTTGATGCCAATTATGCTGTGCATGAAGGAAACTATTGTGGAAATGAACAAACCCTTCGATACACATGCAGTGATTTGGACTGTGTTCATCTGATCTCTTCAGCTTGGTAGAGAACAAAATCAAACGAATTCAAAAATTGGAACTAATTCTGCTACTCAAAGATAGTTGAGCAAGTTGGTGGCTAAAAAACTTGAGACTATGTAGTATGTATGCACAAGGATAGGATGGCTAGGAGTAGCTCACTTTTGTGTCATTAGTTTTATTACAATTATGTGTTCTAAGATAATGCATTCCATGAATTTAGATTAATGTCTATTGTTAAAGTCATATCCAAAGGCTTTTCTGTGAATAAAGGAGGTATGAGAGGAGAAATGGTCCATTTTAAAATTCATTCAAAATCAAAGGTATGGGGGTCGAAGGGGCCAGAGCCTCCTAACTGGATGGTGCTCCGGTGCTCGTCCTCCATCTCCAGGTCTGAGGTTGTCCTGTCTGAGTTAGAGGATATAAATAAGGCTGTTTCTGGACAGCTTTAAGTATGTTATGCTTTGTGGGATGTTTATTTTTTAAGTTATGCTTTGTTGGATGTTTTTATGTTATGCTTTGTTATGCTATCCTCTGTATCTGTATCTCCCTCATCCTTGTGTATGTGTATAGCTAAGCAGGCCTCAGAAACCTCCGTCCTAAAGCCTTCCTCAAGTCCCGGGCAAAGATGAGACCTTTAGATGAGACTGAGACCACGGCAGTGTTCGAAAAGCTTTTCAAGTTCACAGGCAACAACCTCAAGAACATAGTCGAGAACCCTTCTCATGAAGGCCCAGACCCGGATTCAGGCTGCAACTTAAGTTACTCTATTAATCCAACTGTCCAATTTTATCCAATAACTACGATCTGTCTTCATTTAAGTTTCTCAATTAAGATTCCTCAAGAGAGACAAGCTCTTAGAGACCCAATCCAATGGTGGGTCTCTATGCCTACAATGGATTGGAAACCGGTCTCTTTCTCTGGCCGATTGGAGTCGCAAAAAAAAGCCCCCGACATTGGTGGTTGGTGTATTAAAAAATGTAGGCACTTTATTTTGGGTAGGATTTCACCTTGCACCTTCATCCATTTTTCTTTCTAGGGATAATTTTTTATTTATAATTTTTTTAATTTTTATCCAGTTAGTTGTTTTCACAGATTCTTTAAAGGTCAATATGTAGGTTATATATTTCAATAGCTACGTTTTTCTAAAGTAAAATTAGTACCAGCTTGTTCAATTTTTATTTAGCTAAGAATTTAATGGTACTTCTCTTTAAAATGTTACAAGTTGATGAGCTATGAAAAAACAAAAGTATAACTTACAAGAGGTCGTAAGTTTGATTCCCCTCTTCCTATTGATGAAAAAAAAATTTAATGAGTTATGTTGGATTTCCTGTTTTCATTATTTTATTTTCTTCTTATTTTTTGAAATTTGGTAAAACAAGAAAGTAATTGTTAAATTTTAACGTGCTTGATGAAATAATTATATTAAATTGGAGTCTCTAACTCTTCAAACTTTGAGTACAAAGTACTATTTTCGTTTCTTCTTTAAAAGCTTCGAGAAACATTATTTATCACCACATGTGCTCACTTTATCTTTGAGAAACATTATTTCAATTTTTATCTAGCTATGGAGATGAAGTTGGTATTGGTTTTATTTGCGTTTGTTGTAGTGCAAGCCCACGAAGAAGATGCTTCTTCTCTTCCTCAATCTAGCTTTCTTTCTAAAGTTAACTCTTATGTTCATCCATCCATTTTTCAAGATAATGATTTTCTCAAATTTCCAAACAATGTAATTTCTGAATTTATTCGTATCAGAAAAAAAAAAATCCTAACTATATTCCAAAATATTATTGTGAGAAAGATCCCTTTTCTTATAGAACTTCCCATCCAAAACCTCCTAAAACTCCTCGTGGTACTAAAAATTTTCATCCTCCACATAAAGGTCCTTCTAATCCCGAAAGCTCTTCTCCTCCTTAAACTCCTCCTCCTCCTCAAAATCCTTTTTTCGTCCCTAAAACTCCTTAACTTATAAAAAGCTCTTAAAACCCTAATGCTGGTTATCGTAATAATAGAGCTTAATTCCCAAACAGCTATTTTGTTTCGACTTTTGAGTTTGCAATTGATTGGTTAGTGGGTGGGTCCCATATGGACACGTCATCAGTTAATGTCTGACCAAACGGTCAACTTAACGGAAGGGTTAAATTGGTCAAATTTGAAAACCATAGTGTAAATTGATAAAATTGAAACTCGGGGGCCCATATTGAGAATGACCCCAAACCTTCAGGGAGTCTTTTGACATTAGCCCAAAAAAATATAATGTCCTACTTTATTTTTTTCAAACTTTTTTGAGAAAAAAATATTTTATCACACCACAACTCGTATAAGTTGCATCCGATTTGTTCTCTGTGTAGTTTTCACCTCTCATTTGTGAGAGTTTTTCATCTCTCTTTTGTGAGAGTTTTATTTGTGTTGTTATGGCTTGGATTTTTCAAGCTTTAACTCTTTTTTATTATTCTAAATTTTGCAATCTTAGTTGAGATGTCTATGTTAGAGTTTCTTCGAATCTGCATTATAGGTAGTGGAGACGCACCAGATTGTCTTAATTTTGATGTTAGACTGCTCTGTTATTATAATGGCCCTTTTGTGACTAGTTTGTATTGGCCTGTGTTGCACGCATACGGACACAGAAATGCGACACGAAAAAACTCAAAAAACTAGGATACGGACACATACACGATTAGGACACGACAATTAAAATAATAATAAATCCTAATAAAATAATAATAGTATATACTTATATATATATTTTAAAAAAAATTGATACTTAATACTTCAATGTCATAATACCATAAAACAAATTCATACTCATTTTAGTTAACTTAGCATTACTCATCTTTCCCTAAACAAAATAAAGAATGATACACCTATTTATTCACACATATTCATGATTTATCATAAACCAAATTTCACACATATTTCCGTATATGTTCTATCATATTCAAAATAAGAAAAACGATTTCCTACTTCATAAAATAAGAATCGAGTTTGCATTAAAAAGAAAAAAGAAACAAAAGTGAATGAATTACCCACTCAAAATATGCTTCTCGCACGACCAAATTGCTATCAATATCCTTAGTCAACCAAAAATATCAGCTCAGCTATGAAAAAAAAAAGGAAAAAAAAATTTAAAAAATTATTTACATTTTTAGCCCACTTTTAAAAAATATTTCAAATATGTCCACGTAGTTTTCAATAATTATGTTTTGACCCCAGTTTTTATTTTATAATTTTCAAAATGGTCCCTTCCATTTCTTGACTTCAGTTGATCGTGTCCAAAAGTGTTAAACCGTGTCCAAAACGTGTCTTGACTGTTGACCTGTGTCCAAGCCGTGTCCTCGTGTCTGCGTGTCTGACACCTCGACACTTCGACTTGATGAAATGTCCGTGCCATATAAGCATTGGCCCCTTGTAGTTAGTGACTTTTTTAACTGAATTATAAATGCAATAATAGAATTTCTATTTATTATAAAAAAAATAAAAAATAAAGACTTCTCCTTTCAGTGGTTTTTATACTTCATTGATCTTGTTTGAACATGATATTCTCAACTCCTTTTAGATTAATTAAACTTAAGTACTTCCTCTGTGTATCAATGTAAATTAATTC